CCGCCGTATCTCGATTTTTGAAATTTTCAATGATTTTATCTGAAGGCCTGAAGCACTCAAAAAATCTGAAAAAATTCGAGGTTGTTTGGATTGTGGAAAAGTATTTTTATGAATTTTTTCAGATTTTTTACTGGCTTCATGTCCTCAGAAAAAATATAGATCGAAAATGGACGTTTATACCGGAAGTGGGGGGTAGGAGGGGGGAGGGGGCCTAAAAATTTTTTTTTGGGACCTTTTTACCATGTACTATAACATACCAAAAGCGCGTCAAGATCGGCGACATACGTGCGCACGGTTTTGTAAAAAAGTATTATTTTGACCCATATATAAATTGTAATAAATAAATATATAAGTATGTTCTATTCTACTCAAAAATATATTAAAAAAAAAAGTGATCACGTGAGATGCATTATTCCAAGACCGTAGAGCTGATGAGTGCTCATGTTCAACGAACTGTAAGAAGCTCTTAGCCCCGGGTCTGGGGCGTAAGAAATTGATTTTCTTGTTTTTAACAATCAGAAGTTTGATTTGCTAAAACTTAGACGGTGAATAAGATTGAATAGTACTCTCGAAAAATTTGACACTTTCCGGTCTCCGTAAGAAAAGCATTGCCCCACTTGGTAGGTGTAAGAAATGGTTTTTCATGACTTGTGCACTTCAAACTAAAGTCCTGATAAGGTTTTATGCTGAATAAGATTTGACATAGACCCTATGAAAAATGACATGTTTATTAATGATTATTTAAATAACGCCCCACCCCCAGACCGCGGGACCACCACTAAAGTTTCTTACCCGATGAATAGTAATGATTTTGAAAATATGGCAGTGAATAAGATAATGTAATGATTTAGTCACCGGCTCCCGGTCTATGACTCTTTTGTGAGAATGACTTATCACACTTATCGCATGCGTACGTGATTTTACGGTGCACAGAATTGATGTGTACTTTTAAATGACCCTTTTGTGTGAACGTCTTTTCGCATATATCACATTTTTTACGTGTTATTAGAGTTTTATGCACAGAATTGATGTGGGTTTGGAGATTATTCTTTCGTGTGAATATTTTTCCGCAACTATCACACATATATGTGACGCCATCATGAATCGAACTGGTGTGGATAGTGAGATGACTCTTTTGTGAGAATGACTTATCACACTTATCGCATGCGTACGTGATTTTACGGTGCACAGAATTGATGTGTAATTTTAAATGACACTTTTGTGTGAACGTCTTTTCGCATATATCACATGTATGAGTGATACCCTTGTGCACCGAATCAACGTGTATTTTAAGATGAATTCTTTGTTTGAATGACTTTCCACATGTATTACATGCGTAGTTAATACCATTGTGCACTGAATCGACGTGGGCTCTTAGATACTTTTTTTTCTTAAATTTTTTTCCACTTGTACTGCATGTGTCATTCAACTCTTCGGTAACTCCCTTTCTTTTGAAATTCAATTTTGTTGCTTCATCTCCAGAAATTTCTTTCTTTACCATCTGTACAGTTTCTAATTTTATAGTGTTTTGAGTTTGATTATCATCGCTGTATATCGAATTCGGCAAATAATTTTGAGAATGATCTTCAGTTTTCTTAACTACTAATAGATCCACGTTCTGCTTCATGTCTTTACATTCAAAATCGATTTGTAGATCGTCAAGTTCATTTTCATGATTTTCGTCGTACTTTTGAAGCATCTGAACCTGTAATGAATTGGAAGTTATGTGAAAATTTCTATTAGAAGCATTTATAAAGCCAGTCAGAAATAATTTTCAACACTTACTGGATTTTCTGGCAGAAACCTTAGACATTGAAAATTCTCGGTATGGACTGTCTCATCCAAATTCTTATGATTGTTTTCGGTGGGAAACTCATCTTCAGGTTCCAATTTTACCCTTAAACAAATGCAAGAAGACTTAGTATTTTCGCGTTTTCTTTCTCGCAAAATAAATATTACCGGACAGCATAGTTGAATTTATCACGCGATTCCATCTTTCCGCCTTGAACGTTCACTATCGATTGATCTTTCTGTAGTAACGTTACACATGAAATCAACTAACGTAAATTTAATAATATTTACAAATTACGATATGGAAAATTGAGTACATGTAAACAAAGCAACATCAAGTCGTTATGTATCATCATTGGAGAAATAACATTATCGGTATACCCTCTGAGTAACAATAATTTTTGGGTAAATAAAGATATTTCATTACAAAGAAATGAAATATTTTAAAAATAATTGAAATCTGATGTAAGTTTGATCTGAAATACCTAAACTTAATATTATCAATTAAACTAAGATCTTACACAAAATTACGTGTGAGTTAGTATATAAATCTTAACATGCCCATAGGATTTTCCGTACGTACCCAAGTTTTGGGTTTTCGGTTAGATTGAAAGAAAACAGTTTTTATTCCGTAATGAAATATTTCATCAATTATCATCGAGCAACACCGAAGCCCTGTATTCAAACCTTTTTATCCTCATTCATTCGTTTTTGATTCACATTTTTAATTTTCATCACTTTACGATTTCATGACTTACATAGAATTATGATAATTTTTTTAGATGCTTTTTATTAATTCTTTTCTCATTACATTGTATATTCCCTTCTTTTTTATTCATTCGATCCAGGCAGAGTACTTCCCATGGTCTGATAAAACATCTATCGATCTATCTATCTGTATATTCCACATAAATAATAAAATAATTTTTTCGTGCTCCACGCACGCAAAAAAGTCGATCCTCGGCGTGATAAATATACAAGTGGCGCAGGATCGGCGCGCATTACAAACGAACCAATGTTTCAAAATATCAGCTTACGCTCGGCGTCTCGTTTATCAACATTCAATCTCGTTGTTATGCCGTTGTTGCAATTTTTTACCTTTTATTTCTTCTCTATTTGTTGCAGCAGCAGCAGGACCTACAGCAGCACTACCAGCGCAAGCACTGCAAGAAGAAGCAGCAGCAGCAGTAGCCGAGCCAATGACAAAGATGTGACGACGTCGGAAGCGAGAAGGAGCCGCGACGTCGGGGAGGAGTAAAGTCGCTCCCGGCTTTGCGCCCCCGCGCCGCCGCGTAAGATGCGAGGCCCGCATCGCTGCGCGTGGCTCGCGCTCCCACTGCTCGGCCTCATGTGCCTTTCCAATTGTAAACCCGAGGTAAGAGGGCTCTCTTTTTAATCGATAATAATAATAATAATCATCGTTAAATCGATATCTCGAATCCGCGAGTACAGAAGTAAAGAAAGAAGAGAAAAAGTCGTAATATGGCTTATGATCGCTAATTGACAGTAATATCATTAAAACGTTACTGCTCCGACTCTTTGTTGCGCGATTACATGAATAAATATTATTGTCGACCTCGCAGCTCGTTAAACTGAAAAAGTGAAAAAGCTCCGCGTTTGTCATTCGATATAATTATCGCGCGGCGCGTACAGAGAGCCGTACGTGGCATTCGCATGCACGCGCGTATTTAATGATAATAAAACTTCGCCGACACCGCCAGTAGTACCACTGATGTACCTGTACCTATACCTACCTACCTACCTACCTACCTACCTACCTACCTACCTACCGGAGTAGTATAGGGCCGCGCGCGGCGGGAATGAAGTATAAAAGTTGCAGCGCGCGGATCTGCGCCGCGCCTGTGCTTACATAAAAGCTCGCAGCCGAGCTCCGCGCGCGAGCGCTTTATTAACAACGCGGGGCGCGAGGCAGCTCTCGAGCCCAAAGCTGCTGCTACTACTGCTACGCGTATTATAATATATAATTGAACTGCTGCTGCGCGCCTGCTGCGAGCTTTTATACTTTGGATGCATCGTTCTACATAATTAATTAACTGGAAATTAAACGTTTTTTTCGACGCTTGGCGCGCGCGCGCGGGGGCATAAACGATCAGCAGCGACGACGACTATAGCGTGTATACGTAAACGAGTAAGCAAAAAAAAAAAAAAAGAGGAAAAAAGAGGTGGAAAAAAAAGCAGATTGACCGAGGCTCTTCGCGCGCGAGATAATAATCGATTATCCCAGCCGCGTTCTCTCGCACGGATAAAGAGCGCATTGAATAGAGCTGCTGTACTTGAAAAAAAGGGTCTTCTTTTTTTTTATAAATCTCGCAGCTGCACCGAGCTCGATCTCGATTTATATAAAATTACACGATGGTGTAGGTGTATAATACATTTAACAATAGGAGATTTCACGCGCGCTTGCGACGTGTGCAGCACTGCACGTACTCGTGTGTGTGTGTAACCCTAAAGTCGGATTCTTCCTGTCTTTCTCTCGGGAGCTGCAGCAGCAGCAGCGGCGGCGGCAGCAGTAGATAAGTGAACATGTCTCGATCCGGTTTACATTACTCAGCTATCTCTTAATCCAACGGAATGTGCACAGCCCACCCTTACGTACAGCTTCTCCAGCATCCATAAGTAAAGCCATAGTAGAATCAGCAGCAGTGGTAGACGAATATATACGCTAGAACGCAGGGAATAAGTGTAAGATTTGTTCGCTATATTACTGCTGTATAGCTGGGACTAACTCGCTCTCATACTATATATCGCGTTGGAGAGATCTTTCACCCTTAAAGTACACACAGATACACACCTATATAGGCAGAGAAAGAGGGAGTTCAGTAACAGAGAGAAAATAGAGAGAGAGAAGTGCACAAAATGAGCCTCGCTTGCGAGAGCGAGAGAGCGCGAGAATTTGGCTTAGTGCCCGTGATGTCGAACTAACAACTCGCAACTCGCTAAGTGTATCCAGCCTACATAGTCATATAAAAAGAGAAAGAGACTATTATCCCGTCCCGTTAGGAGCACAAAAAAAAACGCAACGAAAAAAAAAGACAAAAGAAGGAAGGAATAAAATAAATGAACAAGAGAGTCGACGCGTCCGTCGAGATGGGCTTTTTAAGTACAGCGTGGCGTACTATACGTACGCTGCTCTGTTGCGAGATATTCGTCCTTAATATATCCAACGATCGCCTTCGTTATATGTATATAGTGTACGTGTACTAAATATAAAATCAATCGTTCGAGCTTTCGTTCGTCGTTCTCCTCCTCGTCGTCGCTTATATTCGAGTCAAGAATGGATTAAAACTCGAGTTCACTCTACCTATATCTATAAGTATACGTATGTAGAGTACCCCCTAGACTCATCCACCGATCGCATAAACCGATTACTCTCGGCGCGCGCCCGTGGAAAGCTCCGCGCCGAGCCAAAGCGCACCGATGATGAATGTGCTGCTGCTGCTGCTTCTACTCTACCTCGTGCATATAGGTATAGAATCCTTTTTACTTTTGTACTCGGCCGTGCCTATATACTGCTACGGCGGTATAATCGGCCACGCGATGCGACTGTGAAATTGTTTCTCGCCGTCGTCGTAAAATGGAAGCTAAAAAACACGCGTTTCCGCGGATAAAAATTAACGCTGCGCGTCGTAGAGCACGTGTACCTATATATATGCGCTAGCTTGTAAAAGATGGATATATGCTCCTGATACGCGCGCAAACTTGTAATATCGAAAGAAAAGAGGCCAAAAACATATCTAGGTAAAGCTGTCTACGTATGTACGTAAAAAACTTATATATATGTACGAACGAAAAAGCCTTTATCCGCATCGGAGGGAAATTTTTTTACATAGCAACGCGAGAATGTAAAAATTATAGAAAAAGGAAAAAATTGAAAAAGAAAGAGGGGCAGAAAAAAAGAAATCAACGTATCGCAGCAGCCGGCCGCAAGCTCGAGAAAATATACAAAATCTGGGCGTATTACACGCACGCCTGTGTATGTGTGCATGTGAGTCTGGCTTATCGAACAATAGGAGAATGCGTTGCATATAAACGCAGCCCATTTTTTTTTTATTGTTCATTTTTATCCGTTACTCGATCTCTTTGTGTGTGTCTGTATATACATTCACGGTCGCTGCCCGAAACAATCAAATCTCGCGTACGTCTGTGTGCGGCACGGCTATCGTGTTCTCTCTTTATTTCGACGCTGAAAGAGGCGTTATACATAGCGAGAGAAGCGGAACAGCTTTTAAGAACTCGTATAACAGACAGCGCACAGACTACAGAGGTGTCTGCGCGTTATACAGATGATCTGAACAACAGTAGTACACGCTAAATGAAATTTAGCTCGTGCAATTTAACTGCCACTTGCGTATCGACGAAACACGATATCTTACGTATTACAGCTGCTGCTCTGAAGCAACTACAACGAGTCAGCTGCAAGCTCGGAAGAGCTCCCACTGATCCCACCGCTAATCCTCCGAGAGTCTATTATGTGCATGATGTACAATGCGCGCACTGTGCAGTGCATCCTTCCATCCTTGCGCCGTTGCACGCGAGTGACGCTATCCTCATGCAAGTGTACTGCAGAGCTATATACAGCAAGGAGATTTTCTCAAGCGCGTCGTAATCGCGCGCATTTATGCGCGACGTCGTTTTGTTTGTAATTAGTATAAAATTGCATTATAGCTCGCGGCGCTGTATGTATAAGTATAGCGGACCAAATTATTACACAGGAAGATATATCCTTGCTGCGCTCGAACTATCCAGGATATGCTCGTACATACAAAGTTCTAACTAATAATAATAATAATAACAATAATTACCTCGTGATCCGGGCGAGCTGCTGTCACCGGCGCGAGCTCGAGCTCACCGAGAGAGCTTTACGTTATTATTACCAGCGACTACACGATCGCGGCGCACTACACTCCAAGAAACGTATTGCATTCATTCAACCACTCCCCGATCTAGCTCGGCTTCGTTGTATTATATCACAACGATGGGCTGCTGCTGTTGCGCGCGTTATGTCTCCCACCTCCGAAACATGCAAACGACCGCTCGCTCGCAAGTCGTCCTTTTGTATATTGTACAGTGCTATATATTGGGTATTCGCTGTACACAGATGTATTATACACGCCGAGGCCTTAATTCTCGCATAAATGCAGTATAAATGCACGCGCGATATACAGCGGCACTTCACGTGCTGCGGCGATCGAGCTCATTCAAATTCAATGCGAGAGCGAGCCGTTCGGCATGGATGTTGTTGTCGTTGTTTTCGTTGCTATACACGCCGTATAACATTGCGTATAGTCTAAACGCGTGCGGTAGTTCGTTTGGAAACGAGAGAAAGGAGCTTTACCGAAGTCTTACGATCGTTCTGTAATGTAACTCGATGATGAATTCGTCCGTACGATTACAATTACAAATATAGAGTCAAACTACAACTCCACATGTTGAAAATGCTAATGTTCGATATTTATATAACTAGTCGAAAGTTTGTTCTGCCACTTGTGGGATTACAATACTCCATCTGTTGGCGGCATCAAAAAGCTCGAGATCGAATATGATACCATAGAAATACGATAAATCTCGTTACCATACAAAACAAAATTCGTAATATTACCACCTTTACCACTTTTAAAGTATAATTTTTCATGTTTACATTAATAGGACAATGTCTAGCATAATTAGTAATTCAATACAAAAATAGGGTTGATAACATTTTCGAGTGTAAGCTCTTTGCCATTGTGTAGGCCGCGGTTTTTTGACGTATTATACGTTCGTTGACTTTTGGTTCACTTTTGGATTTTTGGAGCCCGACGACAATAACATCGCTACATTGGCAAGCCATCTACGTTGCGCCGACGAATAAAGCGGACAAATGAATCATGACGTTGTACGTTCGATACACTGAAAACTCTATGCCTGTATCCTTTAAACTCGATACTCATATCCTAGAAGATATTAGAAAAAGGAATAAAATTTTAAAACAATCATAGAAGGCTTTTAAAGAAACTAATTACGAGTTTTAAATCTGTCAATAACTTCTGTATTCACGTGATTTTCTTCCAAATTGTCAAATCTCGTTGTTTTGTGCCACACATGTTTACATTATTGCTTGACTCTCCCTATCTCGAGAATCAGAAATTTGAAAGGACAGAGCTCCGTAGCGAGTCTTGTTTCATTCAGTACACGCTATGTTCCTGTAAAGAGCGAAAGCATCCGAATCATTCGCGATTCAATTTGACTATGTGCGTAACAATGGTGAGCAAGAAAGTCCACGTGTCAAACGACGATGCCAATTTTGAAAAATTGATGTTACGAAAAAATATCGATTGGAGGAACGAAAAAGAGAGAGATGATCTTTACAATGGACTTTGCAAGTATATTCCATCTCGCGAGGGCCAACTACCTGAACTGCGAGACATTTTTAGTCGCGTAGAAATTGACTGGCTTCTTACAATGGATGTGAAGAACTCGCGCAAATCTTTGCGTAGAAAAGCTCCGATCATCGACTGGGCGATCAGGACCGGCTACAAGGACGAGCCCGACCGTGACAAATACGGCAAGCCATGGTCACACGGTACCACGCCGGTGCATCATGCGGCTTCTTCTTTTTATCTATGGCCTTGCGACGAATGTGAAAATGCAGACGCGGTGCGCGATTACCTCAAGATCGTCGATTCTCTGTTCCAAATATACGACAGGTTCGACGTGAATTACACCGACGAGTCCGGCTTTACGCACTTGCACGCGGCCTGCAAGTCGGGAAATTACGAGGTAGTGAAGCGCTTCCTCGAGAACGGCCAGGATCCGAATTGCATCGCGCTCGAAGAAAACGATAAAACACCGCTTCACGCCGCCGTGGCCTGGGGTCACAAGAAGATCACGGAACTGCTGCTGACAAAAGGCGCCAATCCAAATGCAGCCAATGCAAAAGGAATGACTCCTCTGCACATCATCGGCATGAGACGAGTCGACGATGACTTGGCGGAGGTGTTTTTGCGTACCTGCGACAAGATCAACTCGAAGGTGAGGGTCAACGCCAGGGATAAGTCGCTTAATACGCCACTGCTCTTGGCTATGCTCTGGAGCAACAACAAGACGTTCGAAACCATACTGAGATATGGCGGCAATCCAAATTTGGTTAACGAGAATAAAGAGACTCTTCTGCACCTCATCTGTAAAGATCGTCGCAACTACACCGCGGACATTAAAAAAAAATTGAAGGTTGCGAACTTGGTGAGGATTTTATTTAAAACCTGCCACGACGTCGGCAAGAACGTGCTCGTTAATGCTCAAGACCAGCTTGGTAATACACCTCTGCACGAGGCCCTGAACAACGGCTTGTCGAGCACAGTCGAATTACTGCTGAAAGTAGGTTCCGATCCTTGTGTAGTCAACGCCGAGGGATTGACTCCTCTGCACATCGCGTGCGAGAGCGATTACTTCGGCGGACACGCGATCGATAAGTTTTTCGAACTCATCGGCCAGAATCGAGTACGAGTCGATGTTCGGGACAAGTTTGGCAACACGCCGCTGCACGTGGCTTTCGACAAGAAGAATGAAAAAATGGTCGTAAACCTGCTGAAATTGGGTTTCGATCCTTACGTGGCCAATGCCGAGGGATCGACTCCTCTGCAGATCGCATGCAAGAACGGTTACTTTGGCACGGTCTCGATCGATGAGTTTTCCAAGCTCAGCGCGATACACGAGGCACGGCACGTCAATGCTCCGGATAAGTCGGGCAAAACGCCGCTACACCATACTCTGGACTCGCTCGTTGACGCCCTTCTCAGCAACCGGCTCGGCGACTATCGACGCTTCAAGGACGCACTCGTATTTCTTCTGAATCGAGGCGCGGATCCGAATTTGGCCAACCAGAACAAAGAGACTCTTCTGCACCTCATCTGTAAAAATCGTCGCAACTTGATCGCGGACGATGAAAAAAAATTGGAGTTGGCGAACTTGGTGAGGATTTTATTTAAAACCTGCCACGATGTCGGCAAGAAGGTGCTTGTCAATGCTCAAGACAAGCGGGGCAATACACCTCTGCACGAGGCCCTGAACAACTGCATGTCGAGCACAGTCGAAGTACTGCTGAGCAGTGGTGCGAATCCAAATATAGCCAATCGAGAGAAATTCACTCCTCTGCACTTTCTTTGCATGAAACCCGACGACGTTATGTTTACGTTTACGTTGTTCGAGGCTTACTGTCACAACGAATATCATCCGCTGCAGGTCAATGCTCAGGAGAAGTCCGGTGACACGCCGCTGCACTTCGCGCTGGAAAAAAAATGTCCACACTTGGTCAGATGGCTGATGAGAAACGGTTCTGATCCTGGTATAGCCAATGCCGAAGGATTGACTCCTCTCCACACCGCGTGCAAGAATTATTTCTTCGGCGGATTCTCAATCCATGAGTTTTTCACGCTCGGCGCACATCAAATACGAATCAATGCTCAGGACGAATTGGGCAATACACCGCTACACTACGCTGTGGAGTATATCCTCTTTCAAGCCCTAGTCCTGCGTGGCACGGTGCAGTCTGGCGTGAAGGACGTAGTCGAATTTCTTCTGAAGAACGGCGCGGATCCACATTTGGCCAACAAGAAGAAACAGACTCCTCTGCAACGTATTAGCCAATATCAGTGCGATGGCAAAATCTCGAGCGAGGTGCTAAGCTGGGCGACGATGTTAGTCGAGACCAGCGACGAAAAAAATCAGCCGCTGCAGGTCAATGCCCAGGACGATGAGGGTAATACACCATTGTGTAAGACTCTATGGAATACTCCTAGGAAGAGGTGCGGATCCGATGGCCAATTTGGCCAAGACCAGGAGATTGACTCCTTTGCACACTATTTGCCTAAGAGGCAAAAAGACGGATTGGTGAATGTATTCTACAGAATAAACAAAAATTTAAACCAGAGGATGCAGGTAGATGCCGTAGACAAGAGGTGCGGATCCGATGGCGAATTTGGCCAAGACCAGGGGATTGACTCCTTTGCACACTATTTGCCTAAGAGGCAAAAAGACGGATTGGTAAATGTATTCTTAAGAATAAACAACAATTTAAATCAGAGGATGCAGGTAGATGCCGTAGACAAGTTAGATAGAAAACCGCTATGGGCCATACAAAGTTGATGCAGAGTCTGCGGAAAAACGGCGTCAAACCAATTAAAAACAGTGCGGATGAATAACCTTCTTTGTTCGTCATTTGTATATTATTAGTGCTAGGAAACGAAAAGTCAAATAGACTATGTATCAAAGTTAGGGACATAAGTTAGAAAATGATATTTAATTTTTAAAAATAATGGATTGAAAAGTTTTAATAATGTAAATACATATTTTTTATGTATAAACTCAATTTAACGAACGTAAAAATAGAAAATTGATAATTTTTACAGTTATTGTAAATATAATTTTAGTTTTATTTATGCACCATTAATAACATGTGGGCTTACTGTATGTGCATATTCTAATGTGTCTTAATAACATTTATGGAAACATGAAATTGGAAAATAAAAGTGTGTTATTCGCATAACATATGATCATATTTTTTGCCTTTATAATTATACATATAAAATCATGTATTAGTACCATAAATACCAGTAAAATGAGAGTCATTCTAGCCTGATGCAAGATAATAAACATTATTAGTCGACAAAGTTGGTCTTGAATATTGAAATATTTAACTTATTGAACTAATTAAGACATGACTGCGCACCCAAAGAAACCAAAAAATAGTACGAACTAGATAATTTTTTAATTTGACTCCTTCTCAAAAAAATTTTCTGGTCGTGATCTTGCCGATCAAACAACTGTACATTTATTCTGCTTAAAACTTTTTGCAAACTTTAAATCGCAGCATTAAAGATTCAGCACCGATGTATGAGAATGATTTGCATTTATACAAATCGAATAATTGTTCTGCTCTAGTGAGTTTAAAATGTTTCATATATTCATTAAATGAAAAAGTTCGTAATTAAATATGTTACTTTTAATACGATAAATTTCGTTGCGGTAAAAAATGGATTCTGAAATATTAATACTTACATATTTCTACAAAAAACTTACTCATTTTTTAGATCAATAAACACTTGGTAAAATTAAAATTATAAAATTTTACAAAAAATTAAAGTCCAAGTAAATTAATTTAAAAGCATGAAACATAAAATTCAAACAAAAAGAAAAAATATCCCAAAGGTTCATTTTTGATGCGTACCGATACTAGATATAAGCAAATCCCCAGAAGTAATTTGATTAAAGCTATAAATTTAAACTGAATTAATTCAAAAAATGTATGGCTTTGTTTAATTTTTTGATATTTAACTTCTGACAGCCGTTTTGCCTCAGCTCGCCATTGATTCTTACTTTTTTCTGTTAAATTGAATTTGCAGCGATCTCTCTTCGTACGCCCTACACGTATATACGAGAAAGTTTCACTTCGAAAACACGTATACAGACGAGGCTTGCGCCGCGCGCAAAATACCGTACTTAGCCGGAGTTATTTACTTTTCGCGAGAGCTCAATAATAACCAAACGCCAAGTTCCCTTTCGCATTATGGTAGCCTCGTTAGAGCGTATACAATATCGCCGAAGCACAAACTTTTGCATCGCTCGCGCGCAGCGCGCATAATATACAGAGGGTCGGCGAGAGAGAGAGGGAGAGAGGCCAGAACTCGAGATAACCGAGGCTTTCCATATATAATATATACGTGATTTCCGTAGACTGTTATATTCAGCCTCGTATATACATGCTCACCCTCTTCTCTCTCTCTCTCTCTCTCTCTCATGCCTCGCGCGGAATTGCTCGCGCGCTGAAATATAACGTCTAGGCGCATCGCATCGCCGAGCAACAGCAGCGGCAGATATGTGCATTGTCTATGGTATAGTACGCATTATATACAAGCGCGAAGCAATATAGATTCAGGCAGCCAGGCAGGCAGAGGCTGCAATGCAAAGCTCCGCATACATATATAGCACGATATACATGTGCATACGTACTGCAACATGGCCACGGACCGATGTACATCTCCGCGCGCAGTGTGTGCACACAGCGCGCACTATTTTCCCTGTATAGGTGTGTATTATATACGTATGCATATAAGCGGAAGATGCTGCTTTCTGCGTGTTTGTCTGTGTGTCCGCGTGTCGTACCGCGTTTATAATACACAACGCCGCGCCGTGCGCGCATTAATCGCGCGAATTAAAACTTTTCGATTATATACAGATGCGCATTTATAATACGCGCTGCAACTAGAGCGTTCGTGTATCCTATGTATATATGTGCGCCACGCGCAAGCTCGACCTGCCAAGGATCGATGAGGCGAGAATTACGATTTTCATTTATAATCTGCATAATGTGCGCGATACGCAATATACGAGGAAAGCTCTCGAGCGACCGAACGAGAGCCCGAGTGTCTGTGTATATATATATATCGTCGTATATTAAAACAACCACGCGCGCATGGATAAAATATTAATGCATAATATACGACGGAGGAGGTAGGGCGAAAAAACAAGTATCAAGAGCAGAAGTGAACGAGCCCGCGTCGTCGACGTCGCGTGCTTCATGCGTACATTACGACCCGGATTATTTTTTTTTTTTACGGGCCCTCGCGTCGTTTTTGTATCATCGATGCATGTACAAGAGCTTGCGAATTTTTTTTTTGGCTCATGGGCACGGCACGATTTGCCCGCGATAAAGCGTTATATTATTCTCGTTAAAAGAGAGGATGATCGAAGAAGAAGAAGAAGAAGAAGGAAAAAAAGGGTTGCATAAGCTTCGACCACAATCTGTGTGCGCACGCACTGATCTCGCGCGGTAAAAAGCTCACTCACAGCTGCTGCTGCCGCTGACCACCCTTCGCATTCGTCGATCGGTCGAGCTTTACATCGATACGTATACGTGTAACGGCGTGTAGCAGTTAACATTGTACGCGCGTGCGGGTACACGCGAGCGCGTTGAGTACCGGGGGCATATTAAAGGTAATAAATTCGCCCGTATAGTGCCTGTACAGATGCACGCGCGATCGTGTGCAAGCTCGTCGTCATCAAACATACATCAATCTAGCTCGGATGCTGACGCAGAGAGAGAGCGTCACATACGCAGACGTAGAGACACAGAGACGGCCACACGGCGAGAGACCATTAAATACGTCGCTGTTACGTTCATCTGCGTATCGAATTTATATCGTAATAGCAACGTACATTACACGCATACACGCAGTATCGAGAGTGTGTACGTGTCCTGCGTGCGTATGTGTATTTTAGAGCAATTAAGAGTTGGCCAAAGAGGAATGTCGAGTGACATTGCTGCTGCTGCTGCTGCCGAGGACTCGTCGTCGCTCTCTCGTCGCTTCGCTCTCTGTCGTGTATACTCTTACTTAACGTATTGCATCGCGGCTATATGCACACAGTGTGCCTGGCGCGCGTCTCGTTATATATATACGAGCTTTTATGCGCTTTACTCCTTCGTTTATTTTCTCTCTCTCTCGCTCTCCTCTTTCTCTTTTTTCGACATTTACCACTGATGACGAAGCACATCATCGCTTTATTATTATTACTCCAGCTGCTGCTGGTAGCGGCTCTCGTGAAGTGAGCTTGAAGAGTCGTCGCGTCGTTTTCTATATATAATACGTCACGGACAGGCGTGCGGCGCGGCCCCGTACATATCTATAGATATGCACCGAGAGATGCGCTGTATTTTACCTCGACGTTATATTCGACATCATTTATGTAATTCTTCTTTTTTTTTTACTCCGGGTAGAATGAGCCAGAGAGAGAAGAAAAATTGAGTTACGAGTATTTATTTCAGTCGAACGACTCTCTCTCTCTCTCGCTCCTTTACTCCTTGTTGCCGTGATATACATCTTTCATTTTCGTTTTGCATTCGAACTTCTTTTTAATTATGCATAAATATAGAAACGTTTAATTGGATGCGCTCGAAATGTACGTCGTAATTTTTTCCCTTTTACCATCCTCCCGCGATATTCTTCTTTTATTCATCGTTGGTCATTGTTGTTGTTGTTGTCGTCGTTGTTTTCTTTCATATTATTTCTCCGGTAATTTTTTTGGTATCATTCTCGTGCGTATATAATAAAATAGACGGACGCGATTTCTCGAAATGAAAAGAAAAAACAATTAAATTGTGCGAAATTGGATGAGCGTGATGAGCGTAAAGCAGAAAAGTAATTGAATAAAGAGCAGAAGCTCGCGATCCCTCTAAAGCGTTTTATAAAGATGAAAAATTCATCTCTCGCACCAGTGGTATCACGTCGCGCGCAATACTTTATAAGCCATCTCATACGTCAGCTAAAAACTTGATATAACTTATAACTCTGTGTAATTTTACAGGCGGCATCGGAGCGACCCGCATCGTCATCCCCATCGTTATCATCGTCATCATCATCGTCCTCGTCGACGTCGTCCGTAGCCGCCCGATCGGCCAAGGCGGCCGCCGCGAGGCCCCGTCAAAAGTCCAGCTCCGCGGGCGGTGGCGGCACGTGGCGCCTCGTCATCACCCTGACCCAGAGCCAGCCCCAGCGGGCCGAGGTGCAGCGCGCCTGGGAGGAGGCCGTCGAGGAGCTGGCCCACAGCGACGTCGAGCTGGCCTTCGTCGAGGCCCGGGCCTTCGTGCCGCCCCAGCTCAAGCCCGAGGACACGAGCTATCCCACGGCGCTGCTGCAGAAGTGGTGCGCCGAGCTCAAGCTCGGCCGCACCCTGGTGAGCTTCGTGATTGGCGGCGGGCCTGCGGGCAGATTCCTGATCACGGCCTCGGCCGGCATGAGGCTGCCGACCGTCTGGATGCCGCTCACTCATAAGGATTTCATCAAACAGGTGGGTGTGGGTGTGGAGGCAATTATAGCGCGCAATTATGCACGTCGTCTTTCGCCGAAGGAACATATACCTAATACGTATATCGGCTAGAGCAACACGTGATTACTCCGAGGCGGATTCAGCTCTCGACGTTGATCGCTTGCAATGTTAATGAAAGTATGTCTACTCGCAGACCCCCCCGAGAACTATGCATCTTCATTATTATATACAGGGTGTCCCAAAAGTATGGAAACCTCTGAAAAGCGGCCAAAATAAGCGGGGAAAAAAATCGATAACCCTATATTCGACGTATTTTTTTACGGGGAATCCAATGGTGACCTTGGATTTGACCTTGAACATAACCTCACAGCTGCAGCGACTCAAAAATCAATTTTTCAAATGTAACCCCCATTTTTTATTGCAGATTTGAAAAGAGCGGAAAATTTCACGTCAAAATGTATGTTTTGTTTTTTTTTTTTTTGAAGACCATTTTGAGGATGATACAGGCTCAAATGAAACCCCGATTTAACCTAAAATTAAGCTCAGAAGAACTTCATTTTCTAACTGTAGCGCCCCGAAAAATGATATTGGAAATAAACATAAGGGGCTATTCAAACATAAAATTTTTCGCTCTTTTCAATGGTGACCTTAAATTTGACCTGGAACATAACCTAAAAGCTGCAGCATCTCAAAGTCGAGTTTTTACACGGCAACCGCAATTTTTTATTTCAGATTTGAAAAGAGCAAAAAATTTTACGTTTGGTTAAATCGGGGTTACATTTGAGCTTGTAGCACCCTTAAAATGGTCTTTAAAAAAAAAACAAAACATACATTTCGACGTGAAATTTTTCGCTCTTTTCAAATCTGCAATAAAAAATGGCAGCTATATTTGAAAAATTGATTTTTGAGTCGCTGCAGCTGTGAGGTTATGTTCAAGGTCAAATCCAAGGTGCCCATTGAATTCCTCGTGAAAAAATATGTCGAGTATAGGGTTATCCAATTTTTTTCCCGCTTATTTTGGCCGCTTTTCAGAGGTTTCCATACTTTTGGGACACTCTGTATAGTGGGTGTATAGCTTCCGACGCAGACAAGCGCACGCAGATATACATTGATTTCGCGGTCGATATGTAAATAACCGCTCAGAGATTTATAATTACGCTGAGAATCGCACATCTTAGTGTCCAATCACAGCGAAAATTAAGGAGTACATTCTTTTCTGAGGAAATTGTTGTCGTTGTACCTGTATACACGACCTGGTGCACTAGGTCGACAGGACGTGGTTCGCTACCTTTGACTAAACGATTTTACAGGGCTAAAAAATTCATAAATGTAAAAACGTTAAATTCATTCATGTTTTTGCGTTTTAATTTTAATCCCGTTTCATTTACAACGAAAAAATCATAAAATAAGTTTGACTCTTGCCACTCAAAAACGACACTCCCTTCGTTCTATTCATATTAAATATCCGCTCGACATTCTGCAACCTATAGGTTGCCACTTATAATTAGACACGGGTCGATTCACTATAATATACAATCATCATCCGGGAAAATCGAATAGCTCGCTCGTAAAGGGGGGATAGACAGAGAGCGAGAGGAGATAGAATATTTCAGCAATTACGTCGGGTTAGCCTTCGAAAATGAATCTCTATTGCGGGCTACATATACTTATAATTAAAACAGTCGAACCGTATGGCAGGCCGTTTAATTACGATACTCGCGAGCGAGCTCGAGCTCTGCGTGCGCCACGCGTGTGCGTATGTATATTCGTTGTGTAAATGGTATTTGGCCGTAAAGCTTTTCGCGCTCGCCTGGGTACAATATTGTATGTATAATAATGCGGCTCACGTAATAATCAACGTCGACCAAATTACACAATTTGCTCGCTCGATACATCGTTTGTGCATTATTCGAACATTAACAAAAGAGAATAAAAAAAGAACATAAAATCAGCAGAAATTCTTTAACCTACGGGGTTAATTGTCGTCGTCAGCCGATACGATACACGATCGCAATATATATTTTCCTCGCGAACAAAGTCATCGAGACTCGCGCTGCTATAATATATAACACGTGTCACGCGGCTATCGTTTTGCCGCTTAAGCGCGGCTCGCTCGAGCTAAAAGCGATCAATTTATTATTATATACACGTTGAAAAGTGTACCGAAGGAGGCTGGGAGGGGACGTTTTGTACAGGAGAACGAGTATAAGAAATACAAGAAGTATACGAGAAGCTCGGGTACGCGGAGGGCGAAGAAAAAAACGATATATAAGCGAAGTTTTTCTTCGGCTCCGCGCGCAGCGTAATTTCATACTCGCACACCCTATATGTATATGATACGGAAAAGCTGCGCGCGGGTATAGCTGCAAGCTCGAGCAGCAACAAAATGTGCTTGATCGCGTCTCTCGCGTACTACACAGCGTACACAGCACGCTCCCGTGCACGTTATATTACGTCGTTAGCTCTCGTCGCGAAGACTCGGTCGTCGGAGCAGCTAAGAAAATGTGTCCAAGTTTTTTTGCCCCCACGCGCGCGCGAGTATACTTACAAGTGGAGCGAGCTGCTGCTGCTGCTGCTGCTGCTGCTGCTGCAGTGAGTTGCAAAACGGAATGAGATCACAAATATAGCTGCGGGCGGCGCTGCTGCGTTGCTGTATCATGCGCGCGGTAATGCAGCCGGGCAACGACATAAGTCGAGCCAATAAGACCATCCACCAGCAGTCACCCATCCCCTCGCGCGCGCGTAAAACACTCGCATGAAAGTTTGCTCTTTTCCTTTCTTTCTCTTTTTTTGTTCACTCGCTCGTAGTGCTGCGCGCAATTATGTGTGTATACCGAAGAATCAAGACGTCCATCTGGTATAGAATCGCTATACTCTCGGACATGTTATTTTATACGCGCGCGGCAATTGATGCAGGATTTCCCAAACGGGTGTTACGTTATGTACAGTATACGGAGGGCTATGTGCGTGGTGGCTATATAATAAAATCGTCCCAGGCGTGTGTGTGTGTAGGTATACAGGCAAATCGTAAAGATCTCCACCCGCGAGCGGTTATATTTATGTCTTTGCTCTTGCCCTCCGCTATACGTGTGCATATAGGTACATACATGGGCGAGCACACAGAGTTTGTTCAAGCTTTACACTTTACGTTTTTTAAGAGGGTTTAACGACAAGTCGTCACCGTTGGATCGCTACTGCTGCTGCTGCTGTTGCTGCAGTAGACCGATTTATGCGCGCGAAACCTCGAGGACATTCTTTCTTTCTGCTTCTCCTTTTTTTCTGCTCTCTCTTTTATGAACGTCGATGAAAAATTTTGTGTCCCCTCGCCCTCGCCTCCCCACTATACAGTAGTATAGTTTACAGGAAATGATCTCGCAAAAAAGGAAAAGGGCAAAACGCTTTTGCGGACAAAGTTGATCGGTTCAACTTTCCAGAGAATTTGCGGTTCTTCGAAAAAAAAGTTGTACGCACACATATATATTTTTTCATACGATTTACGATCGGTGCAGTCGCGAGCCTTCGCTATACGCAAGAGAGAGGACGCAGGGGTCACTATAAAGGGTTCGCTCGCCCGCGCTTGATTCGACGATATCCTTCAAAAAGTTTCTATATATCGGCGGTGCGCGCAGTCTGTACAACGTTTGATTTTTCAAAGATGCCTTATATATAACTAAATCCAAACGTCTTTGTATGGCAGCTGCGCGCGGCGTTGCATCGAATTTTCATTTTAGATTCGATGCACCTTGCGTGGATTCTCGGCAATTTAATAATATTATGGATATATCAAAGCAGCGAAATGCCGTATGCTAAGAATTTTTCATAAATCCTCGATAAAAATGAAGGGGATACACAAAAGAAGCGATAAAAAGATGAATAAATAAATAAAACCGAACCAAAAGAGCAGACAAGAGCGCGGAGGGAGGGGGGATAGAGATTTGCCCCCGCGTGCTTTTAAGCTCGCGCGCGCACAACACGCGCATGATATACACTATAGACGCGACGATCCCAACGCTGCAGCAGATCGAGTCGCGGCGGTTGTAAAAGTTTGCGTGTCTCTCTCTCCTATATCGCGTTAGATATATAAACCTTCATAGCCAGTCATCCGTGTGTATATTAAGCAGTTAGCGAAGGCGTATACGCAAGCTTAATTGAATTGCAAACTATCTATATACGTTATATATACATATTATACATCTGGGGGAGTAGAGGGAAGCAGCAGCAGCGAGTATAAACTCAAAAGGGACGAGAGAGATGCGCGCCTCGCTTATATTATTATATATTTGCGTATACGTATAGCTGCTGCTGTAGCATCGAATGAAGATTAATATAACCGCATTAATGCTCCGGGATCTCGATTGTGGAAATGCAGTTATGCCATTTGTAGCAGAGAGTCGAGAGTTTGCTCTCGTATATGTTTTTTTTTTTTAACTCCCTCTCTGTGTTTTGTAATGTATCCATTACATATAGTGCACGCACAGTTTGTTGTACGCTCGTGTATATATATGGAGTTTTCGGAAAGATCTCCGCAGATGTACGCGCGGCACGTTTAAAACATGTTTTATCGGTTCAACAATCGTCTCGCGTATAGTTATACGGCCATGTGGATAAACGTAAAATTTATCTATATGCATCTGTGTGTGAGTGCATGTGCTCTCTAGGCTAATATATATACGTAACTCTATCTCTGTACGTATATACCGGCCATGATGCCCCGGAGGGATTGTTAAACTTTTCGAATTATTCTGTGCGAAAGAGATAGAGAGAGAGAGAGAGAAAAGGGACGAGTTTCGTTCCTCTATGTATGTATGTGTGTGTATACACGCTACCGTACGCGATTACCTTCGCTCTATATGTATGTGCACGACGACTAAGACGACGACGACGATGAGTTATGAAAGGCACATGGCAAAAAAAAGTAAAAGAAAGAAAAAAGCCTTTTATTTGCATTACGACGAGAAAGAGAGAGACTGAGAGCACATGACCTTTTCGCACAGGCGCCGGTACATAAAAGAATTAGTCAAAGAACGGAATTCGCCCAAAAGTGTGTGTACTTTTTTTTCTCTCCTTAAATAATTATTTCTCCCGTATATATCTACTACTACTGCGGAGCGCAGCGAGCTCTAAAGCCGAGATATACCCGCGAGAGAGTCCAAAGCGCGCGCGGGGGTGGGCAAGCGGGGGGCAAAGAGGGGGATGAATAAGCAAACACATGTGCAGTGTGTGTGTGTGCACTGCATGTGATTGTAGGTGGAAATGAGGTCAGCAAAGTTTTCGCCAAAAAGAGAGACGACACATCGCGAAAATTCGCTGCTCTCGTGTAAACTCGCGTTATAGTAGCTCGCGAGTGTGTGTGCAGTGTGTGTTTATCCGTGGGATGCGGTATAACTGTATACATTACACGAGAAAAGTCCCTCGGTTGCGCTCGTTTTTGGGGGTATGTATAACGCGCGTATGTGTGTGTGTGTGTAAGTACTATACGCGCGCGGCCATACGACTATAATGTGCGAAGCATCGGTATTTCTGTCGGGCGCGGACTGGAGCGCGCTGAAACACGAGAGACAGAGGGCGAGAGCGAGAGAAAACTCTCTAGTATTATATATGATTTTTGGGATTTAAATTTTCGCAGCGGCAGCAGCAGTAGCAGTTTAAGCGCAACGTGAATTTTTAAATACGTCACGCACAGGCACGTTCGCGATCAAAAGTTCGGTAATTCGAGACCATATCGACGATACGCGATATTGTAGGTATAAAAAGTATATACGAGAGCGCGTCGAAGCGCATCGCGTGCGTGAAATATTATTCTACTCGATATATAAAGCGTGCACAGGCTAGAGGGAAATTAAAACAAAAAAAAAAAAAAAACAAAAAGGAAAGAGAATTTTAAATAAAAAGGCTCTCAACAAGAGCGATTAAATTTTACCGAGTCATTCGGTTCTACGTACATTGGATAAATTTCATAATTAATTACGATGCTTTATGCATGATCAAAACAACCATATATACGTACTTTTCACGCTTGTTTTTCATTATATTCTCGAGCCTTATCAAAGATACCAGAAGAGCGAGCGCGAGCCGTAGTATATAATATAGGAACGCTCGTAAAGTACAAAAAAAACCTCGTCACTTTTAAATAATTAATTTTTCAAAGAAAAATAATCAACACTGTATTACACTATGTATATACTACAGCATCGCTGCTAGATAGGCGGGAAGATGAGCGCGGCGCGCCCTTAATTAAGCGCGAACGTGTAGGTATTATATATATACGTGATGATATACAGCTCTCGCGTTGACCTTACGTTCAATGACCTTTTTACAGTCCTCTATACTCTTTCGCGTCGCGTCGCGCGCGCGGATGAGTATCATAGCACCGAGTGCACTCGCCAGATTAGATCTTATCGGTGCGCGCGTATTTCATAATATCGTGCTGCTGCTGCAATAAGTGTAAAACTCGAGACTCGACTCGCTGCACCGTCCAATGTTAGGGGGGCAATCGCGGATGAATCCGTGGATGAAGTTTTTCGCTGTCTTATATCTGCAGCGCTATACATCTCGCGCGAGCTTTCCTGCGTCTTTTATACGGTTTCTCTTTTATCTACCGTTGATTGACGTTTCCATCCGCCCGCCCACTCGTGTGCAAGAGCAAGTTAGAGAGAGAGAGAGAGAGAGAGAGAGAGCTTGATTGAGTCATGGGGCGCGTGGCACGAAATTGCGCGGCGTCTTACACGCATACCACCGCGCAGCAGCACCACCACCGTTTGCTGCAGTTGAAATATTATCTTTCTCTTTACCGAGACAGCTGTGTAACGCAGTTCAATTTAGGTGCGAGTGCACGGGAGCAAAAAAAAATGAAGAGAAAAAAAGGAGTACAAAAAAAAACAAGCCAAGAGCTGTACGCATGTAAGTTTAAAGTGCAGCAGCAGCCACTGTCAAACGTGGAAAACTTAAATTAAGCAAAAACTTAATTACCACGAGTCTCTCTCTCTCTCTGTCTTAGGGCAACAAAAATCGCAGTCCCTGGTACTGCTCTCGCGCGTTCCCTGCACGCGTCGCGCGCGTCTAGGGCGAAACTTGAAACAAACACTGACGTAGACACGAAACTCCCATCTTAGAATCAATATTATCGCGGTGTTTGTGCGCGTACAGCAGCAGCAGCAGTAGCAGCAGCAGTAACAGTCCGGGGAAACTACTACGAAGAAAATTTCGAAATCAGAGCCGGCAAAGTTTTGGAATATATATACTCGGGATGCGACGTTGAACAAACTGTTAACCCGTGAATGACCGACGATGATTTAATCAAATTTCAACTTGTTTATCAATTTCGCAGCTGAAAAGGGTTTTGTACGATTGTTTTACACCGTGGGATGACGTGGCCGTTATAGAAGGATACAAGCGTAAATAGCGAGCTCGGCAGTTTTTGTCAATTTCAACTTTGAACCGCGCGAGCGCGAGTGGCATTTCATATGATTTTTTTTGTGTTATCTCGAAATTCTGTACCGAATATTTTGCGCGTTCTAACATCACAATTACGCCTCGTTGACCGTCTCATACACGAATTTATCATTTAATTCTCCGGCTCTCTCTCTCTCGGAAATTGCGATCTTGCGAGCCTGCAGCAAGAGCCCTGATATCTTATACTGCTTTTTTCATTCTCTCTGTCTCTTGCGTCTTCCCAAGGAATTTTGAGCTTCTAAGCAATTAGTATGCAAATCCTGCGAGCGACCTCATAACATTTCATTTATGAAAATGCCCGCGAGACCCCCTCTCCCCAACCCCAACCATGCCTAACAGCAGCTTTGTATATTAAGCAATTATGCTACCCCCTACCCCCTTCTTACGCGCTCGAAAAATTGTGAATGCGCAGGCAGTAGCGGGTTAGCTAGATTGCATTTATTATTTCGATTTGTTTTTATAATAGTATATTGTATAGATTCACTGGTAACAAATGCCTAGCCCTATTTCATGGCTAGTTTTAGATGAAAAGAAACCGGTCTAGGATATGAGACGGCCATTAGAACCAAAGGATATATTAATGATGTCAATTCAACGTTTTTGCCCTCATTTTAAGATATACACTTATTTTGACTTAGCCACTTGCGGATTTACTACAAAGATGCTCGCCATCTAGTGGCGAAGGATAAAAATGCTATTTAAACCTTGAAAGTTGGTTCAAGAGTTCAATAATGGTCTAACTTGTATAAAAAATTGAATCATTATTTTCAGTTCATTTAAAATGCGCTAAATATTTTTTACATATTTGTAAAACAAATTAATTGATAGAAATTACAAAAGATTTTTAATGATCATTGTTTAGTCATGAAGCTATTATTAATCCATAGCATTTCTACCAGGAAAGTTTTCGTATTATTTTAAATCATCCGAGCAATGAATTTCTGCTGCAGCAAGCAACAAAAGAAAGCAGTGATAGAGAAGAAATTAATAAATAAAGTCAAAGAAGTTATGCCAGGAATGACGATAATTTCTTTTCGCGCGTACACATTCTCGGATACGATATATATAAACACGCAACGCGTTAAATTGCCAATCGTAAAGTAGTACGCACGAGAGGCGCGCAGAAAAATGAATAGGAACTTTGCTCGGTACGAAAAAAAAGCAAAAGGAAAAAAAATTCGAATTCCGCAATATACGGTACTACTGCTATACAGATCGGCCTGTATCTATACAGAAAAGTGATTTTTCTGACTCGGCGAGCCCTCGGGCTTTCAAATATGTCGAGCCGAATCGAACGTACATCACTTTTCAATTATACACAAACGTTCGCCTTTTTTTCCCCCTCAAACTCTCTCTCTCTCTCTCTCTCTCTCTCTCTCTCTTGCGTACATGACTCTCCCTTTTTTGTTCAATTTTTTTGCTTTGCGAAAAAAAAAAAAAAAAATAAATAAATAAAAAATTGTCTGCTTTTTTACGCAGGGCCAAGCGTCGATCTACGAGTCGCGCATCGGGACGACCTCGGTGGAGATCGGCGCGGCCGCCGCGGCCCTCATGCACAAGGCCCACTGGCGGGCCTTCACCCTAATGATCGACACGAGTCTCCTGCCCGTCACGGATCTCGTCGGCAGTCGACTCCATCAGCAGCACGAGTCGCAATTCATCAGGCCGCGGCGCGAAGGAGCGGAATCGAGACAGCAGCAGCAACATCGCGACTTGTTGACGCCGCGTCGCATAGTCTATCTGCCGGCCGACGAGAAGACCCTGACGGGCCGACTGCGCCGCGTCGCCGAGGAGAACGGCCGCGGCAGCGTCATGGTGCTGGCCTGCGATCTGGCCACGGCCAAGCGGGTCATCGCCGCTGCCGGCAAGTACGAGATGCTCGCCGGCCGTTTTCTCTGGCTCTGGCTGGATTTAAAGTCGGAATTGAGGTGAGCGAGAGAGATTGCATATATCCAACGTATCGTACTACTATATTTCCATTATATCCATCTCGAGTATTATTATATCGCAATTTTGCTCCATACGTACGACAGAGCGAACGAGCCGAACATCATAGGCCAGCACGTGCTGCAGAACGCCCGAGTCTCGGTGACGAGCGACCACATGCCAGCGTCAGCGGTCCACGACCAGGGCCAAGAATTTACCGCAGCTGCAGCAGCTGGTCCTCCCATCGCCGGTGGTGGCTTGCAAAACCTGTCGCCGTCGTCGTCGGATGGAAGTAGCGCCGCCGCCCCCGCTGACGTTATAAGGCAGACGCACTCGCAACTCGTCAAGGATAGCAAACACAGCAGCGCCAGCGGCAGCGACGATGGTAGCAGCAGAGGCAGCAGCGGTGCTCGAGAGGTCCATTGGCAAAATGATATTCTAGGTGGGTTGCTGCGGCATCATCGTTATTATTGTTATACTCCGAGAGATTTGTTGTCTTTTAATATATAGCGTATGTATATTCAAAACTCAGTCATATACGCTACGTATGCAAAAGCTCGCGGAGTTATGTACGCCAGGCGTTTTGCGGCTGACAGGTCAATCTCGCGTGGCGGCCGATATGTGTATATACGCCGAAGATTAATATCATTTGATTGATTCAGGCTCGTTGCGATACGTAACTATCTGGTGTATATAGATATACAGGGGGGCTGCCTGTGCGGCAGCAGGGAACAACTGTTTGCTCCGATCGCCTCGCACACACTGCACATGGGCACACAGACGCAGACAGTAGCCGCGAGACGCTCGAGTTACGCCGAGTAATATTTGTGTGCCCTCCGGGCGCGAGCGGTGGTAGATGAATGTGTGCTAGCGATCTCTGCAATATATGTGCATAAATGTGGAACTTGCACCGGAGTGAGCGAGAGAGTTTGTTTTGAGCTTAAGCGCGGATTGACGGGATTGCATACTATAAGGTATACGTCGGTAGGTAGAGCGTGGAGCGTGCAAAGTTGCGCTGCATCGGTACACGCGTTTACCAAACGACAGATATATTTCCTTCCTTTACTTGAAATAATATAAAAAAGATTCGAAGACGTTTAATTTACGATGTGCTCGTTCGTCGTAGTGTATTTACGGAGTCAATTAACTCGTGGATTGTAGATCAACGTAAATTATATTATGAAGCGTACGCTCGAGCTAAATTGAATTATCAAGTTAAGACATGCTCATACTTATCCAGCAAAAATAAAGTATGTAGTACTGAAAAACTCAATCAATTTATGTTCGGAGTGCAATTTGCTTACCTGGCGGTTTTCGGTCGTCGAGCTGCACTCGCTGCTTTGCGAATGAAAACTTCGGCGCGCTCAAGTCTTTTAGCACGAGTTTAGAGACGGTGTATGGAATACGCCAATCACACCATGGCGCGGGGAAAATTTTTTATCATATGTGATGCTGGGATCTATTTACTCGATGTTTTTTGATGTGAACTCAATGTCGTCTGTCGGAAATTTGTTTGGAAATAATTAGTTTCAGAAGGACTAAAAACTACTCGCAGAAATCATCGCCAATTTAGAATTTTCAATTATTTCAAGCGTTGTAAGGATAATGTATAAACAAATAGATCGGTACTTTAATTGTAAACAATAATATCATGAATATTATCGTCTCTCGAACACTGATCACGTTTACAGTGAAAATAAGTTAGTTTGAATGTTGCCTTTCCCGATTATACGACTTGTAATACTGAAAGAAAAATTTCACTCAATCAATTTTCGTGGTGCTAAAAAGAAGGATCTATCGTTTAATTCATTCATCGAAATGTATAAAAGTGAAAAGGAACCCGATGGAGTGGTCTCAAAAGATAAATTAAGTGAACACAAAATTGTTGTTACAGACGACAAACAACACGTTTGTGATATTAGTCAGGAGACATTTATACTAGAATCAAGCATGATAACCCACCGTGACAAAATTCACAGTGACCAGAAAAATTACGCATGCGACATGTGCGAGAAGAAATTTGAGTTCCGAAGTCATTTGAGTAGACACCAAATATCAGAACACAAAGACCGTAATGATTTTGCATGCGACCAGTGCGAGAAAAAATTTGTGAAAAAATCCATTTTATTCACGCACCAAAAATTGGTACACAAATATCGTGAAGATTTCTTGTGCAACAAGTGCGAAAGGAAATTTGAAAATAAATCAACTTTACTAAAGCACAAAAAAATATTCCACGAAGTTTTCAAAGATTATCTATGTGAAAATTGCGCGAAAAGATTTGACAATAAACAAAGTTTGCGCTTACACATAAAAAAAGTTCATAAACCCCAAAATACAAGCCACAAAGGTGAAGGTCACAAAGATTACGCATGTGACAAGTGCGAAAAAAATTTTGCATATAAATGCCGTTTGGTTTACCACCAAATGGAAGTGCATGAAGGTCGGAGAGATTTCGCATGCGACAAGTGCGAGAAGAAATTCGGACGTAAATCGAGATTGCTGTATCACCGAAAGATAGCACACGAAGATTTCAAAGATTTCGCATGCGAAAATTGTGGGAAGAAATTTGGATATAAATATAGTTTGCTCTTGCACACAAGAAGAGTCCACGAGGGTCGCAAAGATTTCGCATGCAATGAGTGCGAGAAGAAATTTGGACAAAAATCAGATTTGTTGAAGCACCAAAGATCAGTCCACGAGGGTCGAAAAGATTTCGCATGCAACAAATGCGAAAAAAAATTTGGAAAAAAATGGATTTTGCGTTTACACCAAAGGACAGTACACGAAGGTCGCAAAGACTTCGCATGTAACATGTGTGAGAAAAAATTTGGCCAAAAACCCAATTTGCTCTCCCACCAAAAGGTAATACACGAAAATCGTAAAGATTACCCATGCGACAAGTGCGAAAATAAATTTGGACATAAAGGTAATCTGCTTTTTCACTACAAGACGGTCCACGAAGGTCGTAAAGATTATGTATGTGACAGATGTGAAACGAAATTTGGAACTAAAACAGATTTGTTCAAGCACCAAAAAACTGTACACGAGGGTCGCAAGGATTACGCATGTGATAACTGCGAAAAGAAATTTGGGGGTCGACACAACTTGAATAAACACCAAAAATTAGTTCACGAAAATCGCAAAGATTACGCATGCGACAAATGCGAAAAAAAATTTGGACACAAAAGTCATTTGCTTGTCCATCAAAGGACTGTACACGAAGGCCGGAAAGATTTCTCATGCGGAAAATGCGAGAAGAAATTCGGACAAAACTCGCAGTTGCTTTTCCATCAAAGGACAGTACACGATGGTCAAAAAAACTACAAATGCGACAAGTGCGAGAAGAAATTCGGACAAAAAAGCCATTTGCTCATACACAGGAAGACAGTACACGAAGATTGCTATACGCATGCCATACTTGCGAAAAGAATTGATGATGGACAATTGTAAATATGTAGGGATACTGATACATATCTTTTCCTGAGATTTTAATAAAAAAAATTGTACTAAATGATTGTGTCTTACTTGATATAAACTATCATTACACCTTTGTTCACCGTTGCTATGATAAGTGTAGATATTTTCACGTATTATTTTTAGCTGTGAACGGGGCGAGCATTTAGTTGGCTATTGGATTTTCGATAAATCTTATGATATGCAAGTCTGAATTAATCAAACATACAATAGTAAAAAATTTTGATGAACTTGCTGACGGACCAGAGACGTGATCGGTAATTACCAACAAAACCATTACAGGAACCATTTAATAATTTAATTTAAACCATAAATATTTTGAATATTTTTTAAAAATTTAATAAACCCCTTCAATTATTTTTTTCATTTTCTTAGTACTTTTGTCAATCCAAAATCTTAAATTAAATTCTTTTCAAATTGCGTGAGGGCGACCTAATACAAAATTCAAAATTCATACGTCGAAATTACGGTATGAAGCATTCACACTTTGAGAACATTTTGATATTTTATGTGATCAATCGAAAGTTGAAGTTTCAGTTCAAGCACCTTCATTGAATGATTTTTATAAATAATATTTTATCACAAATATATTGATAATTTTTATAAATTATTCTACAGCATAGTGCTTCCTATCAAAACGTTTGTTTTGAATTCTAACTGAATCATTTGTTTCAACGTAGATCTGCTGAGACAACGAAGGAACCGTCTACTACTGAGTCGTCGTCGCCGTCGAGACAGCGGCGGTCCATCAGGGGCCAGTGGCGGTGGTGGCCTGGCTTCGGGCGGCGTCGGTGGGCGCGCCTCCTTCGTCGGTGCCGGCCCCGAGGACGAGGACATCGACGAGGCGCCGGGCCGCGGCTACGAGCGCACCGTAAACTCCAAGAGCTTCATGCCGCTGGGCATGCTGGCGCTGCGGCCGGCCAACGCGCGCCTCGGCCCGGGCAGCGCCGACTCCAGTCTCGGCCGGGCGCTGCGCGAGAGCCTCGCCGCCCTGGATCGGGGCCTGTTCGAGGCGCGAGGCCAGCTGAATCGACTGGGCGAGCAGCAGCTGCGCGAGCTCTTCGTGCCGGACTGCCTGAACGAGCGTGTGGGCGAGCGCAGGGTTCACGAGGCCAAGCACAACGTCTCGGCCAGTCTGACTCGCCGGCTGAGGGAGGCCGCCGCTCAGGTGTCCGCCGAGAGGTCCGAGTTTCACCTGCTCAATCTGCAGGGCGTGCTGTTTCCTGGAAATAAAACGCAGCTCAAGTGAGTACAATGAATCGTCATAAGTGCGTGAATATATCGCGTTGATCGTCGATTCGATTACCAAAGGTTTGAGCTTCAAAAAATGAATGGATTTTCTTACTTTTTTAATTCGACAGCTCGACGGAAGATCAAAATACAGAATTGAGGTGACTTTTCTTAAATAACCGACGTTTTTTTATCCCTATTTTATGGACATTTATTGATAAGTGTTTTTCATTTAAAAATTGTTTTTATTGTATCAGTCACGTGTCAAGATTAATAAGTGTGTTTTATTATACTCGTTATATAAGTAATTTTCAATATATATTCACTCCCACGAGTCAATACACACAGTTTGTCATATTTAATCGTCCCTCCTTAATTTACGTGTGATCTTATAATAAAATATCCTCGTGTTTATCTTCATCGAAGCTCGCGATCGTAAAAAAATCATTCGATCTCCCTTTTCGCAGATGGGTGAAGGTGGGCGTGGTGCGCGGCGGCCGCACGGTGCGCCTCGACACGATCATCTGGCCGGGCGGCGGCATCGTGCCAGCCTACATCGAGCAGGGCCGCGAGAAGATCGGCATGCCCTCGTACAAGATCGTCACGGCACTGGCGCCGCCCTTCGTCATGATCACGAATCTGCAGCAGGGCGCCTGTCTGCGCGGCCTCGTCTGCCGCCTCGGCTCCACAACGCGCTGCTGCTTCGGCTACTCCATGGACCTGCTGCGCCACGTCTCGCAGGACCTCGAGTTTCGCTTCGATCTGCACGTGGCACGGGACGGCCTGTTCGGCCGTAGGCGGGGGCGCAACGGCACCTGGAACGGCATCATCGGCGAGCTGCTGTCGGGCCGCGCGCAGATGGCCTTCGCGCCGCTCAGCGTCTACTCGCATCGCAGCCAAGTGGTGGACTTCAGCGCGCCGTACTACTTCAGCAGCGTGAGCTACCTCGTCTCGCCCAAGGAGCACAACGACATCTCGCTGCTGGCCTTCCTGCAGCCGTTCAGCAACAATCTCTGGATCGTCGTGTTCGTCTCGCTCAACGTCACCGCCTTCATCGTCGCCGTCTTCGAGTGGAACAGCCCCTTCGGTCTGAACCCGTGGGGCAGGCAGCGCAGCAAGAACTTCTCGCTGGCCTCGGCGCTCTGGGTCATGTGGGGCCTGCTGTGCGGTCATCTCGTGGCCTTCAAGGCGCCCAAGTCTTGGCCCAATAAGTTCCTCATCAACGTCTGGGGCGGCTTCTCCGTCATCTTCGTGGCCTCCTACACTGCCAACATCGCGGCCTTGATCGCCGGCTTATTTTTTCACAATACCCCCAAGAGCTACGACGATCGTAGCGTACGTATAAACAGCAACGAATATTTTGAATATTCGACGTAATCGGTTGTATTGATTTTGTTTTTCTATCCGAATCGCAGCTTCTGCAGCAGCACGTCGGCGCGCCCAAAGCCTCGGCGGCCGAGTACTACGTGCAGCAGGCGAATCCGCTGCTCTGGTCGAACATGGCCCGGCACTCGGTGCCCGACGTGTCGAGCGGCGTCACCCGACTGCTCAACGGCAGCCTCGACGTGCTGATCGCCGACACGCCCATACTCGACTACTATCGCGCCACCGACAACGGCTGCCGCCTCGAGAACTTCGGCGAGCCCATCAAGCAGGACACGTACGCCGTGGCCCTGTCCAAGGGCCACCCGATGCGCGAGAGCATCTCCCAGCTCATAGCCAATTACACGAGCACCGGCCTGCTCGACATACTGCAGGAGAAATGGTACGGCGGGCTTCCGTGCATTCCGGGCGCGACCCTCGGCGTGGGCTACGACGGTCAGCCGAGGCCCGCCGGCGGCCAGCCCCGACCCCTGGGCGTGGCCTCGGTCGCCGGCGTCTTCTGCCTGCTCGGCCTCGGCATGTTCCTCGGCGTCGTCATCCTCATCGGCGAGCACATCTTCTACCGCTACAGCCTGCCCAAGCTGCGCCAGTGCTCCAAGGACTCGGTCTGGCGCAGCCGCAACGTCATGTTCTTCTCGCAGAAGCTCTATAGGTTCATCAATTGCGTGGAGCTGGTGTCGCCGCATCACGCGGCGCGCGAGCTCGTGCACACGGTGCGCCAGGGCCAGATCACCTCGCTCTTCCAAAAGAGCGTGAAAAGGGTAAGCCGAGTCTTGAGTTTACACACACATTTCTATAATTTATAATGAATGTACCATGCATATGCGGCTTTATATTTGCGCGCAATGCTTTGGCGCTTTATATTATTATATATTATTACGATATATAAATGGATATAATTTACATAAAGCCAAGCGATATTTGCTTATTACGCGAGTTGCCCGCCTTGTTGTTGTTGGATTTTTAGACACGAGTTCTCTTAAATGTATCAAAATTCGGATTCTCTCGATCGACTCATTTTATAAGCACACTTTGATAAATAAAGTCTGATCTGATTTTATTCATACATGATTTTTTTTTCAATTCTGTGCACGACACGATATGTTGTTCAATCATGACAATTGAAAAAAAAAAAACAAAGATTAAATCATCAAACAGCAACACTGCATGACAAGCCGAGTTATTAACCCAAACTTTTCCGCATATCCACACCCGAAACATGCTGTTATTCTCTGTCCACACTGCATCACCAATTTTATCAAACATTATAACTTGTCTACTACTTTCTCGATTTCCATGAGTTAAGTCGAAAGTATGTAACGTTATCGATCGCCTGCTGTAGTTTCAAAGAAATTTAACTCATGGAAAGAAAAAAAATAAAATAATCATCACAATCGATGTCCGATTCTGTCTTTTTGCGATGTCATTCTGATACTTTCAATGTTCTCTCTTTCTCTATATACTTTGTTATATACTTTAAAAAATTTTACACAGCAATTGGTATACGATCGTCAATTACAAAAAGAACTAAAACAAAACAAAGAAAATGAAATGAAATAAAATTGTGATAAGCAGTAACCTCCCGTTCTATCCTAAAGCGTAATATTTGAACAAAGTACGTAAGTCTGATTTGTTCCAGAAGGAACACGAACAGCGACGGCGTCGTAAAAGCAAAGCGCAATTCTTTGAGATGATCCAGGAGATACGAAGGTCAGTGTTAAAACACGTGAACAATTACATCATAGTCCAATAATCTCTTTTTCTATCTTATTATGTAAAATTCGAGCCTCGAACAACCCCCGCCCTTCTCTCTCTCTTGCTTACGTAATTATAGGTAAAAAAAAAAAATCGACGAAGCTTTATTCCAAATTTTCTCTCTATATTATTATTGGCTGCACTTGATCACTTGTACTAATCATTATGACATGTCTCATGAATAATTCAGTCACAAAAAGCTCCAAGCTCGATAATCATTTGATATGAATCCTTTTACACAGAGTTGACTTAGCTTATATATTTTTTGGAATGTTAGTGACACTTTTTGTCGAAATATATATTGCCTAGTCATGTAAGCTCGATCGAATCTCTCGAATTTTTTGCCAATAATCGACTAATCGAAGCCATGATTTTTATTCTCTTCCCAACTTTTTTTTTGTGGCATAAATTCTTCTCTCGACCGCGTGCACACAAACACACGCAGAGCTCAGCAAGAGGAACGCCAGGCGTCCCTGATCGAGGCGAGGGGAGCCGTGCCCAAGAAGTCGTCGGACGCCAGTCTGCGCCCGGGCGGCGCCGATCCTCATCTTGGCGCTCGTGAGCTGCTGCAGTGCTCGCGGGCCAGTCGCAGCCGCAGCCGCAGCAAGAGCCCGATGGCCCTGTCGCCGAGGAGGCGCGCCGCCGACGGCGTGCAGAGCCGCAGCTCGACCAATCTCACCGCGTTCAGCATCGAGCAGGCCATGGCCGGCGCGGCGGGCCACGGCTCGCCCATGAAGCCGCGCGAGTTCACCCTCAGCAATTCCAACTTGAGGGCGCGAAGTCCCCTGGAGGTGGTGGGCCGTCGACTGAGCCACGGCGATCAGGGCGAGTCGCCGCCGCCTACGCCCAAGCTCGGCGGTTCGACGACGCCTTACGGACCCAAGACACCGCAGAGCTTGGCGAAGATGCCGCAGCTGCATCAACAGCAGCAGCAGCCACAGCCGCTGTACACGAGAGTAGTGACGGAGCCAAAAGTTCCTCAGATCGTGCCGCCCGTGACGGCGATCAAGGTGACCCCGAAGAGGGGCGAGTCACTGGGCAGCGGAATGCCGCCGCCCACGCCCAAGCAGAGGAGTCCGACGAAGCGCGGACAGTCGTTCCCGGTTTTCACGACGTTAAAACCGCAGATGACCATCGATACCAGGCAACATTATCAAGTACGTTTCAAATCAATTTTCCCAGATACATCATCGCTCATATGCTCTTCTCCATCGCAGGTATCGCAAGAGAAGAATAGGAGTCCTCTGCTGTCGCCGAGCGAATTGACGTCGGCGATAGGCCGTAAACTGTCTCGCGAGTGGGGCTCCGGCGAGGAGCTCGGCGAGTACTTCTCCAAGTCGCACGAGCATCTCGGAGCCGCCACGTCGAGCTCGTCGTCGCATCACACGCCTCGTCGAGAACAACAGCAGCTGCCGCCTCGCCAGCTGCAGCAGCAGCAACAGACCACTGCCACGCCCAGGCCGGCCGAGCGCCAGAGCCGGCGCAAACGGACGAGCAGCCAAGGTGACCCGGAGCGCGAACGGCCGGTACGTCGCGCCCGCAGCCACGAGAACAAGGAGCACAGGCGGGCCGCCACGGCCGCGCACTTCGACGAGGCGCTGCTGGCCAGGTATCACCAGGCCGCGGCGAGCCACCAGCAGCAAGCGCAGTCCTCGTCGTCGGGTGGGATGAGCCAGCGAGCCAAGCGCCAACTCGAGTCCGAGCTCAAGGCCATACTGACGGCGCGGGCGCATCATCTCGAGCTGCATCCGCCTTGATGAAGCTTCGGCCCCGAGGCGCCTCGACGCCGTCAACAATAACTTGTATACAGAGTATAATGTGTAAAAAGTATAGGCTCGTTCTAAAAACGAACACTGGTCGCTCGCGCGTCTCGGTGTGTATAAAATATAGCGTTAATAACAAAACTTATCGACGATGTACGACGATACGTGACAATTTTTAAATCGAGAGAGAGAGAGAGAGAGATGCGCGATGATCGTCACGCAAGGCCTCTGAGGGGTCAACGACAATTTTGTCAAGCATCTCTTTTCGAATAACCACGCGCACGTGGCTCTATAAAACCGTCGAACGACGGTAACAAACATTATTTAATAACAAACAAACAAAAATAAATAAAAATAACACACAACACACGTAAACGCATACATGATAAGCAATATCAGATTTCTATAGGTCAATTGCGTCGTATAGCTCAAAGAGGAAAATCTGATAGATTAAGATTTACGTATTAACGAAAATATTAACGAAAATAAATAAAAAGAGCGAACGAGACGAAGCAGTTGTTGCGAAAATAATCCTCGAGCGCGCTCGAAGATTAATATGGACGAAGTATATTAATCAACGTATTATATAAAAAAAAAACTAATTGTTGCGCGTATTATAACGGGGCAAGACAACGCGACAAGTTGGAAGCGCGAACGAACGCGATCTGTACAATTTTATGACGAAACTATTGTAACGACTTGCCGAATCGACAATTACTATTGATATACGCGCGCGCGTGCTGACGTAAGGGAATATTCGTTATATAATTACGGATATAAAGTACTCAAAGTCACGATTACGTACATTATTATACATGGTAGATAGTGGATGAATTATTATAATAGCATCGAGCCGATTTTAGGGACTATCAACTTGATAAATATATTATGTATTATATACGAATAGCTCATGGCACTGCGACACACAATAGGATGCAGTAATATTATAAGAATATTTTCTTGTTAAATATTTTACCTCTACGCTAAAACCGTTGGCCTGATCAAGTCCCACTCGTTTTCTTTTTTCATTACAAATCCTGACGAAAAGAAAAATATCGACTAAAGCTTCTTCATCATACGCGTAAACGAAAAATACGAATCACTAAGGTTTTCCGTTTCGTTTTACAATTTAGCTCGACTTTCTTCGAGCCAACGGTGTAGAATGACCACTTAGTAGTACGCGTATAAATAAATAAAAACTTTCGAGCACGACTGCATCATAAGCAAATAAAATAATAAAACGCCGTAGCTCAAAAAACGAGTAAGATTATAAAATTTACTTGAGAATAGTTTAGCTAAAAGTTGAAAAAGGAAAGAGGAACAAGAAAAAAAAAGATAATAGAGCACGACGATCTAGCGACTGAAAAATAAATGATATATTGTATACTTTTCTCATTCAAGAATGTACTTTTTTGGCGGTTTAGTAAAAGGAGCGCTCAGACTGAAAATGACGACATTTTTTCTCTAAAAAAATTCGAAATTTTCGGCTGCGACTTGTGTACATTATATGCTAAAGCTGGAATTGATAAAAATAAAACACGAAGCGACGGTGATAAAATAGGCGAATCCGAATACGCGATATTGTTAATAATGATAAAGAAAAAAAAAACAAATTTTTGTCAGACTGTTTATTGTTTATATCGATTGTTATCCGATCGTTGGAAATAGTTACGTTTAAATAGTCTCCGACTTGTGCCAAAGTTATATGATGCAAAAGGCGAGAATGAGACAAAGCGCACGTATACCGCGCATGGAAAAAAAGCAGATATAAGGAGAAAAAAATGTAAACAAAGTATAAACTCGCTTATTTTAATGAACAAAAAAAAATCATTGCAGCATGGCCTTAGAATTGTAGTCGTATCCGCCCAGCATACTTTGTTATTCTCCTATCTTATATTGCTCTGATTTTAATCTCGATTGAGAATATCTTCTTAGATATATATATATAGAAAAAAAGAGTGAGAGATCTCGGATATATATATGATTTGAAGCGTTCGCGCGGCGATTCTCAATGACTTGATATAAAATTTTATTGCATTCCTACACAGTATGTCTCGTGTATGTACAATACAAACACATTGTACGTACATGACTAATTGAAAGGTTTACTCCACAAAATGTTACTGCGCATTGTTATTGTATATTGAATATAAACAAGTTTGTCATGTATGTGACAAGTAGCATGTGTATATCTTTACCTTCCACATGATCAACGAATCGTAGCTCTTTGCGGAGTGATGTATTCTAAAATAGTGAAACTGGCTAAGCGCGACTTTCTGTCCTTCGGAGATCGTCCAAAATTTAACGATCGTTATTTCATTTTTTTCCGACTTTTATGTCTTGATTTTGGCCCGACTAAAAAAAAATTTCAGCTGCAACAGTTTCTGGAGTAATTTTTTCTCAATGATTCTTAAGCTATAAAGTAAAAGGCTGTAAAATAGTTTATAATAAGAGAATGAAAAAAGTAGTACACTGTAAGGAAAAGATGCTATAAATACTCTATGCATAGAATTGCATTCAATCGAATTTTAAATTTTAAACAGTACGATATGTGTATGATGCGATTATCATGCGGGAAAGCAGGCTCGACCGAATCCTCCAACTATAAACAGTGACTCTTTTTTGTGATTCGCCAAGGCTGCATAATACACGTTTTCCAAAGTACACACCTTATGCACACAGACACTTTTCTTCCGTACGAAAAAAAATGAAGTATTAAAAAAAAAGCACTCTATTAAGTACGTAATTTAGTATATAATACCTCGTAAATATAAATATATATAATAAAAATAAATAATTATATATATACTTTCACAACAAGCCTTCTGCGTATACTATTATAGCAAATGGAAATTGATCATCTTGAGGCAAGGCACATGAGAAAAAAAAATTTTAAACTCTACAATTCTGGCTAATTTTAATGCAAAAATAAATACAAAATACTAAACGAAATAATGAAATCTATAGTAAAAGCTTGACAACTTTAAGTGATAAATGAGCGTAGGAGAAAAAACCATATAATTACGAAAAGAAATCAATTAATCGACTATAGTAACAAAGTAAAATTCTACATACGTCAGCCAGAGTCTTCAAAGCCTAAACAAATCAAATGTAGACTCAGAGTAAAAATACAATTGTAGCATAAATTAAAAACGAAAAAAAAATTAAAGTAAAACTTTGGAGCAGGATGAGAGCTATGATCTGTACGCGCTTTTCACTGCGTGGAAAATATCTTTTATTTTATTATTGTTATTATTTATTTTAAATATTTATTTTCTTTCAATTAAACTCATTTCGAGAGAATATATTTTGTGTAAATATGAGGAGATAATGGCTTCTGTAAAACACAAGCTTTACAACATTTTTTGTCTTATTTTTCTATTAATTGCCAATTGACGACGATCGTTTGTACGCCAATAAGAGCCTTGATTATTACTTAAACATTTTGAATTTTAAAGTCAAAATATTTTATGTCAACATGACTACAATAATTTCGATTCTGCCTAGTCACGATCAGTTCATGTCCGGACATAATTAATCGTTCATTAGTAATAGGCATGATGATTATCTACGCACTGAATTCTACAGTTGTGACTCCAATCTAATCGTTACAAACATCTTTTAATAATTTTTCGATATATGACGGCTCTTAGTTGTTTCGCTCTTTCATCGGCATTCAATTCAATTTACACATTATGTGATATACAAACACTTTGCGCTGCAAAGAAATGACTTCGCAAATAACAACGTAACGACGACTTGTAACTCGGAAAGATATTTCAAATACTCAAATAGAATCGTTCTCCAGAATTTCCAGGCGAAACATTGTTTCATCGTGAATCGTGTTTCTTTTGCACAAGCCTTCGCTGCCTATAAAAGGTTTCATAAAATATGAATTAATTTATTGTGCTTTTACTCACGTCTACTCGAAAAAATAAATTCATCGAATGATCGCACTTTTGTGTTTGCAGCACAATTGACAAAGGTGTTGTCAAAAAAAATGTCTCGATTATTCAATGTTTGGCCAAACTGCATTGCATCTCTCTTTCTTGCATAATCGTTTACCTTCACGACGTTTCTTCAATAAATGGCAATAAATTAATACGTATACGTGATTCCGTGAAATTCTGTACAAGGATATGTAATCACTGATAAACAACCACTGCCATTGATTATTAGGCTGGCAACAGATGAAGAATAAGAACAATATTAGTAAAAAAAAGGGAAGATTCAATGATACGATTTTTCATAGTTGTGCGAGTTGGATCGATGAAACTCTTTTGAGGAAATAAAAATAAAGAGAGAAGAACGATTATACGAGAGCGCCGACACGCGTCTTTGTAAAATTTGTAAGAAAGTAATTGTAAAACGAAGCGATATTATTGAATTGTTAAAATTTTTTTAAACGTTTATACATGTATTTTACTTTTGAAATCGTTTCAGTGTGATTATAAAATGAAATTTTCCGAATGCGACATATACAAATATGTTATTCAAGCATATAATTCAAAAAATCATCGGAAATCATTTGACTCGAATCTGTACAAATTTTCAATTTAAATTTAAAAAAAGATCAACTAAGCTCGATAAATAATCCGATGAAAACTCTGTAACATAACGATGTTACGTCTATGGTGTAAAAAGATCGACAAAATTTATCGAGCTTGCCCGTTGTTGAAAACTTTTGAGTGTTTACAAACGATAAATTTGACATAATTTTTTATGAACATTGAGCATAAACTTCGAGGCAATTACGCACAGAGACATTTTTCTTTTTTTTTACAATACACGATGTATAGAAAACTAACGATTGCGTAATTCGCCGATCAAAGCAAATCATCTGTTGCGATTTGCAATTTGCACAATTGATTCATATAGTTTAAAATGTGAAGTTTTTTTTATATAGTCATTCAGTATTATCAAAGTGCAGTTCTTGATCATGAATATAGTGGTAATTTTTTTTATGATTGTTTGCCATGGTTACTTGTTGGCGTGCATTATTATATATAAATATAAAAGTATATTCGAAAGGGTAGGCTTAATTTTCATACAACCTACCTTAACTTTTTCATTACGCCTACCGTAACTAATATGAAGAAGAGAAAAACTACACTGTTATTGTTGATGAAAAACTCCAATATTAATAAGAAATGAATATATTGTCTCAATCGTGTGTAATTTTTTTTCCTACCCAATTTTGAATTCTACATTATTTTTCCCTTCAAGGAATTATTCAATCAGTACTACTCATGCGAAAGAAATTTTTTAGTTTATTTGAGATAATTTTTATTGTTACAAGTGAAATATTTTCGTTCCTTCATGAGGAAGCTTTGTGATTTTTTGAATAATCAAAAAGTATAAAACATTTACGAACTTTATCCTGTAGCTGCCAAGCAGATACGACCCAAGTCTTAGTTCTTTAAGTGATCTGAGATTTCCTCCCAGCAGAGAATCGGCAGCCGACACTGCGTCAGCTCCAGTCCAGAAACAGTCCAGTGCCTAGCCCCGGAAAAATCCTCTCGTCGTTATCTCGCACACGAACATACTTCGCAGGCCTCGTGAAATCTTCCAGGTTGCTTCAATGTAGTTTCAATTTTAAAGTACCTTTGATTCCTTAAGATGCATGTTTATGTTTTTTAATATTTTTTATTAGAGAAATTATTGAGAAGATTTTCCCAATACATTGACAGAGTTTTTTTTTCTCAAGAGTTTACATGGAACTAACTATTAAAATTTTATTCATAATCTCTTTACCTCACGTAGCTCGTGCAGCCCAATTTAGTTCAGTCATAAAAATAACAAGATAAGAAGCCAAAAATGTCCCCGAAATTACATGAATGAGTTCACCTGCTACTATGACTTCTAAATCTTCACGGACTGAGCTCATTTTACGTGTGTATTGAATTACTCCTGCTGTTTCCGCTTCAAGGTCGCGTACTTGCGAACTCGAGAAGATAACCATGCACGTTCGATTAAAGCGATTACTTTTGTATCCGTTAAGTTTTCGTTCGAAATAGAGAACATTTTTACTATTAAAGAAATGGATCTTTTATCGTATCGAATAAAAAGGAAGTAAAAGAAGCCGGAACGAATAATTTTACCAATTGGCGCGAAGGGAGATAATTACGATTGATAAATAGAGCAGCATAGATAAGCTGAAATAATGAAATACGATACTTGCATTGGAAAATTTTCCCTTCTCAATGTTTACTTTCTTCGCCCATATCTGGCTAAATTGATATATAAATTTGATAAAACCAGCTTGAATGACTTTCGATTCGTTCTGACGTCATGCCTTATAAAATAGTTGAACGAAAAAGTTTATTTCATACATTAGTGAATTAATCATCATTAAAATCGTTTGATTAAACCATCTGTACTAACTAAAGCTCGCTTCGTTCTCTAATCTATCAAAATTGCAAGTTACATTTTAAATTTTAATTAAATTTCCCGTCGAAGCGTGCCCGACGAATCGTAGATAAAATAGATCAAAATATCACAGCTGCAATACGAGCTCCGAAATGCTTAAAATATGGGCTCGAATTTTGAAATCTGAAAAAAAGTACAAGTCATTGGAATTATCATCATAGGCTGTAGGCTATATAGCTATTTTATATTTATATAATATTAAATCTATACGACCATATTGCGATGAATCGAATATGAAACATGAAATCACATCATCTTTGAAAATTCAGTAGTATAAAATATTAAATGTATGAAACGAATCGTTTGATCCGCGCAGAAATCAAATTACGTTTGTGCAAATAAACTTTGACAGTAAATCCGCGTGTGGGTCGATTACGCGCCTCGTTATGTTTCTTTCTCATCTCGTAAAAGGCATCGAATTACAACATATCGAACAAACATCGCTTTGGAAAGTCTCATGTACATACAATGCGGATGTATCGAAGTTCATCTTATTATCGTATATTATTATCTGTACAATCATCGCCATTTAACAAGAACAACAATCGACGCATGCACGTGCGTGAACTATTTGAATAGAACAGCTCGTATATATAAATATCGGCTCCCGTACAACAAATATAAATTTTTCTCCTTACGTTTTGTACAGCCGATTGGTCGGATGGCGACAAAAACACGAATATTTCAATGTAATCAATTAGTTAACTATGTAGAACGAAATTCGTGGCGCGCGCGGCTTCAATGAACCGTCGTCGTCGTGCCGATAGTGGTTGCGTAAAAGGCAAAGAAAAAAAAATGAGATTTTGTTTTCTGCCATTGCGTACTGGCAGTGACGAATTTATTAGGCTTTCTCGGAGTCTCTTTGCGCGATGATTCGGCAATTTTTTTCGCGCTCGACTTTTTTCTTTTTTCGAGATTATTATCGCCGGGCCCCGCCGAAGCCGCATCGATTCGAAATAGATGATAATGTGTCTGCTTTTCAACTTTGTCGAATGGGGAAGGAAGTAGTAATAGAAAGTAATGTATTTATAGATATTATCTAAATAACGAAGAGATACACGCGGCAGAGGCACGTATGACTCATATGGCTTAATCCTATGGTATTATTAATATCGAGCTTAATAATGAATTGATATGACAATATTAATACATGGCTATATAGTTGTGAGAGTAGCCGATCGGCAAGAGGAGTAGAGCAGAGAGAGAATCGCGTGATATAGGAATCCCAAGGTCCGTTCAAAGTCTCTTTGCATTAATATATAGATTCTCGCCGCGCCGCTAATAACGCGAATCTATATAAACTCCATATGATGTAGTCCATACAGGCCTATATATACTACTGTGTCGCACTGCTGCTGCGCGCTCGAGGCAGTAGTAGCATTTGTCATCGCTGCTATACTTTGGCGCGCGTGAGTGTGTGCTGTGCTGAACGCGGCTTGGCGGCGCGAGTCGCGACTCGACCCTGGTGAAAGCGCAGCATCAGGATGACTTGGCATAAAAATATGCCTCATAATATCGTACGATTCTTTATAATACCTGTTCTTCTCTTTTTTCCTCTCGTCCGTATTATTCTCAATATCGCTTCTCTCTTTTCTTTATTTTTCGCTATGTGGTGCGTTGTGTGTTTATAGTTCCTTATGCGCGCACCTCCGATATTCGTGACGACGTCGACGACGACGACGACGATGATCATGATCATAGTTCGCTCATCGAGTTGCGGAGATCATCGAGAGTTTAAAGTACCGTATATTTCGGGATAGATGTTTATGGGAGAAATGCCACGCGCGCGCGAACGAATTTTTGCGGTTTCGCGCTCGTGCAAAATTGCGTAACATCATTACATTATGATCTGTAGGGGGTCAATCGCATCTTCTTCTTTGATATTTTTTTTTCTCGCTCTCTTTCTTGACATCTTGCCGATTTTGAAGCAGGGCTCAAAGAAGCGACAAATACAAAGATTTTTGGGCAAAAATTCCGAAGCTAATACATATTATTAATCGTTTAAGTAGTATGTGGTCCGGAGGTTCCGACCCCAAAAATGTTGCTCTTGAATCACACAGTACAGCTCGCGGGCGTGTGTCCGGGCGTCACGCGCGAGTGACTCGATCCACGTACGAAAAATTTTTATTGCGCTTTATCGCACGCGCGTTACACAGCTCTTATCGCTTCCGATATCGGTATGGCCAATTTCGCGCGCACCCGGATAATTTGTTACACAGTCATGATGAATTAAAGAGACCCGATGAGAAAAAACAAAAAAAAAAAAAATAAATAAATTCAATCGAGTACAGCAGCACACGCACGTCCGAGCGAGCTGCACTTTTTTATCGCAGCGCAGCGATCAATAAATAATGAGACGACAATAAAAAATTGTCAAACGTTCTCACGGCATTTAATAAGTTAATTGCGCGCGTTTGGCTATTAAGAATGATTTACTAATTAAGACACTTCGTGATAAGAGAGCTGCAAAAATTACGTCCGATCCGACTGGCGTATTTGGTTTCTGTCCTGCTTAAAAATTCAACACAATCGAAAATTAGTCGAATATGGTCAGTAAAAAAAAAAAAAAACTAATCATTCGGTAAATACCCAGCCGCAAGTATAATACATCGCCGAAAAATGGCCTGATTCATATAGGACGCCAACTCGCTCGGATTCTCTCCCTCTCGCTGCTAAAGAGAGAGAGAGAGAGAAGATGGTCATTGACGTACTTTTATAATAAACAAAGCGCTATGAGCGATAAACGATAAGAGCCTCTGCTGAGCGACCCGCTTAAGATCCGTACGCAGCTATTACGGATATCTTTTGCTCTTCTTTTTGCGTATACGTATCGACGCGTTTTCGTGCGTCAGGCTCTCGCAAAGAAAGAACGACAGAGAGAGAGAGAGAAAAGGAAAACACAATTATAACACACTACAGCACACAAATAACACTATTAATAAATGGGCTTTCCTCTGGCGCGATACGGCGGTTGTAAAACGATTTACATGTCAAGAAAAAAAAAAGAAGAAAAAAAAATGAGTGATCGAGAGTACGTCGAAGAAAGAGAGAAACATCGTACGATGCCTCTCGGCTCGATCTCGCGGGGGATTAAAAAAGCGTTACTACACAAGCACAAATGTGTAGTAAGCGATACACTCGCCCGCGCAACAAACGAGCTTCAAACGTATGAATAAAATAATATATAAGACGGCGGCGAGTCGCAACGATGATTAATGCCTCGGTAATGTGTGTGGTGTGTGTGTGCATGTGCGCGCGCGACGACGAGCGAACGAGCGAGCATCCACGTGGAGTTTCATGCATGTTATAACGTAAAAAGAGATATATACACGCTTGGATTTGTGTGCCTCGCGCGGCGGGGCTTATCTCGCAACTCATTGCACGAAAAATATCGTATTCACCGCAGCGCGAGCTGGTGTGTAGCATATACTTACATACCATGCGTATAGTGGGAGTATAAAATAAATGTGCGTATCTCATACGTATTCCGGAGTACAGTTCATATAGCAGTAGTATAGTAGTAGTTGCAGCGGTGGTGGTGGGGGGCGATGGAAGCAGCGGCGAAGGCGGCGACGACCGCCGAACACTGCTATACGCGAGTGAAACGCTAATGCCAGCGTGCAGCGAAAACCTTTTCGCTCTCGATCAGTCGTTGAGCTCGTACCCACTTCTCTCTCTCTCTCTCGCTCGCCTCCGTACCGACGCCACAACGTATTATATTAGCAGCTGCAGCAGCACGAGACAAACGCAGTCTTATAAACACATTGTACGAATAAACACACCAACACGGTTATCCATAGTTTCTTAGTTTTCTTCAATTTCTTTGGTGTGCAACAACGAACGACGACGTTATTACTGTAGAAATAAAATACGTAGCAGTGACGAAATAGCATACATCGAGTTAAACCGTGACTGTAAGATCGGAGTTATAGAGAAAAAAAAAAACGACGGAGAACTGCAGAAAGATTTTCGTTTGTAACATAAAAATCGGCGTTGGCCCTCCCTCGTGAACACATGCGATACAAGTAGAAACGACTCGAGGAGCAGATATCGAAAGCAGCTGTTACGCATATATATAGATATAGATATATAGTACATAACACTTGTTACATATATAGTGCATCTGTCGTGCGTGTGTAATATACTCACCGCGTACCATGATCAAGTGAAGCAGCAGTGATTAAGCCTGTGTCTGTGATATTACTGAACTGTTAACTGTGCATGTTTGTGTGTCTGTGTCCGTTTATACATAAAAAGTACCACTAACGTGCCCAAGAGTTGAGCTATTTTTTTTTTCTACGGCTCTTTCTCCAATTTGTATCGCCGATTTCCTCTTCTGTGTGTCTACGAACGAGCCCCACAAAGGCCCGTGTTAAGTAAAAACAGTCAAGATTGCTCCAAATCTGCCCGAAATTTCAAAAATGTTCGGAGCCAACGGTAGTCCAACGGCTTCTTCGTCGAGATCGTCCCCGAGAATGAGACCGAGAATGTCGCCGAGATCTTCGCCAAGATCGTCACCGAGAATATCACCGAGGATGTCACCGAGGACGTCACCTAGATCATCGCCGAGAATGTCGCCGAGATCGTCGCCGCCGACAATGTCTTCGAGACCGTCGTCCCCGATGGCGTCCTTCCAGGTCTACAACTCTGTGAAATCGGTGAGTTTTCAGCTTTTTCTCGCAGCACGCGCAGGTTATAAGAAACCGATTGTGTGTACAATAATAACGATTTAAAACACTCACAGCCCACGCCTTCTGATATGAAAGCGGCGATCAACGGAGTTCCCTTCCCCAATGGTGACGGAGGCTGCTCATGGGCACAAGTAAGTTGCATAGCTTTGTAAACAATTTTTTTTTTTTTTTTTTTTTTTCATGAAAATCTGTTGCGACATAAACTCGCAACGTGCACCGCGCCGATACACCCAAGGTTGACACACATTATAAACATTGTTGTGACGTCGCGTTCTCTTTTCGTAAACAAACGCGGTGCACGATGCCGTAGTGTATACGCCGTGCATTTAACCGAAGTTTATTCGTTCATGCTAATTCAACTATTCGGTATTTTAACGATCGCGGCGGCGACGACGACGACGACGACGACGATGATGCGGCGCAAATTTGCTCACACTCACGGTGATACCCACCCATTTATTGTTACAAAGCATTATATTATGCGTGTACATGTCACGTGACAAACAATATCGCCGCCGATTGATATAACGCACACACTTATACAGGCGCGCAGCGTCAGCTCGATTTTGTGCTATATAGCAGCAGCTGCATTTTCATGTGACGACGTTGTTTGCGCGAGCTTATATGCATCATGATGCGCGAGAGGGAATATAATTGATATCGTTGTACCGTATATCTATATATCGCGCGCACGTGAGTTGTTTGGCCGCTTCGCGCGCGGCGATTTATATACACACATTCCGATTAAGAGTATCTCTTTTCTTGTTTTCCAATCGCGAGGCTCTCCTCGCATATATACGCGTGTTTGAATTTTATATTATTATCGTTATTGGTTGATTTTTAGCACTAGCAAAGATAGAAATGTGAGAACTTGAGAGTTTATAATGTGTTTTACTTTATTATGCAGCGACCCTCCGCTAAGGACGAGCTCAAGAACGCGCAGTTTCACGACTCGGCTCGCACTAATTCGTTCGAGCGTCATATGCCACAGAACGACGCAACGAGTATGGACGTCGACCCCAGCAGCGAACCCCAGGGCGAGACGATGACGTTCTTCAAGGACACTTTCGCCACCGAGGTCATGAAGGTCATGTACACGATGCGCAACAATCGCATGCTGACCGACGTCGCTCTGGAGGTGGGCGACAAGGTGCTCTGGGCCCACAAGATCGTTCTGGCTGCGTCCAGTTCCTACTTCACGGTAAAACATCCGCTACTTGATATTCAATTAGCTACTTAATAATGCGTTCAAGCTAGTTGTTTGTGAATTTTCAATAATTGCTCAATATGCAGGCTATGTTTACAGGTGGCTTGAAAGAGACGAACATGACCAGGGTGAAGCTCGAGGGCGTCTGTCCGTCGTCCATGGACCAATTGATACACTTCATGTACACCGGCGAGGTGGGTGTCAGCGATAGTACCGTCTGCACTCTGCTGTGCGCCGCGATGATGTTTCAGGTACGTTGGCCTTATCCTCAGTCGACAAATCTTTTACGTTTGTTAAACTGATGTTAGTTTTTATAAATGAAAATTCATCTCAGGTTACGCACGTTGTAGATGTATGCTGTCTTTTTCTAGAGAAACAATTAGATCCGATAAATGCAATAGGAATTTCTAACTTTGCTGAAAAGTTCAGTGTTTGGAAACTACACGAGTCAGCGAATCAATATATTGTGCATCATTTCTCATCTATATCCCAAGAAGAAGAATTTCTTCAGTTATCAACTCGTCAATTAGGTATGTAACAGGTGATCTCAAATTTATTTCATGTAAATCAGTAGAATAATTAGTAGAATTAAAAAAATTTACTTTTAATGTTACAGTGCAATTGGTAAGCAGTGATGAATTAGACGTGCAAGAAGAAAAAGATGTTTACAATGCCGTCCTAAAGTGGGTATCGTATAAGGAAGATGATCGGAGCCCTCTAATGGAGTCCATTCTTCATTCTGTTCGATGCCAATATCTCACCCCAAATTTCCTACGAGAGCAAATGAAAAACTGCGATTTATTAAAACGGATGCCATCGTGCAAAGAATATTTAGCAAAAATTTTCAAAGATTTAACTCTACACGTCAAGCCACGTGTCCAAAGGCGTACTCCAAAAGCTAAAAGAATTATCTTTGTTGCTGGAGGATTCCATGTGCACTCCCTTGATACATTAGAAGCTTACAATGTTGATGATGGAACATGGACCAAATTAGCTTCTCTATTACTACCCCGCAGTGGGCTTGGAGGTCTATTTTTGAAAGGTTTCTTTTATGCTATTGGTGGAAGGAACAATCATCCAAGCAATGGGTACTTTGAAAACTTATTTCATTAATACAACATAATTTTAAAAAGGAATCACATAATTATCATAGTCTTTTAATCATAGCGGCCGATTTGACAATAACTTAGTAGATCGTTATGATCCAAGCACCAACTCTTGGAGGCCTTGCAGTCCTCTTTCAATTGCTAGAAATAGGGTAAGCGTAGCTGTCATGGATGATTTAATTTATGCTATTGGAGGAAGTTATAATCAGGAGTATCATGACTCTGTTGAGTATTACGACCCTAATTCGGATGCATGGAATAAAATTGCATCTATGAATACGGCAAGATTAGCAACAGGAGTAGCTGTTGTTAATAGGTAATTATTACATAAAATTACTTATCTTAATTCATCAAGTAAGCGCGTATTTGAGAATAGGTTCACAACCTTATTACATTCATGATTGCAGGTTAATGTACGCAATTGGTGGATTCAATGGATTTCAAAGATTGAATACAGTTGAGTGTTATCACCCTGAAAATGGCAGATGGAGTTATGTTGCACCAATGAAGTATGCTCGTTCTGGAGCAGGTGTTGCAAGTATTGGTCAATACATTTACGTCGCTGGAGGCTTCAATGGTACTGGGCAGATTACTAGTTTAGAACGTTATGATACAGAAACGAATACTTGGGAAGAACTTAGTCCACTTCCATTTCCAAGAAGTGCCTTGACTTTGACTGCTGTAGATCACTTACTGTATGCCATTGGTATGTAAAAATATTAGGAGTAGCTCGATTATTTTTATCATACTTTAATTAATTGTTCTAATTGTTTTTATTTTCATTTCAACTTTTAGGTGGATTCGATGGATCTAAATTTTGTGAATATTGCCTAATTTATGATACTAAAACTGATACATGGAGTCAAGGGATGAAAATGAATGAACCAAAATCTGGTCACGCTAGTGCATTATTTTATCAGCGATGTGGTCATCAGTGCAGCCACATAGATTCAATAAGTGATGCGTTACAAGCAAGTTCCTCATCTTGACAATGATGTGCAGTATAGATCGGATAGATTTCATAAATTTATCAGATACTCCTAGATTTACAAAACTATTGAATAAGAGCTACTAGGTAAAATTGCGCGTTTTTAAATTTCGATTGAAAGAAAAAATTCAATTGTCATTAATTTTTATTTGAAAATCGTGCATTTAACGGTGCATTTAATTCTGAAGTGAATCACTTCGTTATTACATAGTACAAACTCGTAGTTAGATAGAAAACTAAATGATGTAATTTTATTGGAACTTGTTTAATATGTTCTTTTAATTCTACATCTTTTTATAATAGGAAAACTAATGAATTTATGCAAAAACTCAAATATTTTTATCCAATATATAGTATATCCAATTATATAATTGTACATAGAAATTTTTCGTGTAAACGGCAATATACAAAAGCCAATGGAGATGTTTTTAATAAAATATTGCGCTAGATGTACCAAAGTGCCTAGTAACGACCATTGTAATTTTTAAAGAACCGTTATTAAGTTCTTTGCTCGCGTATTAAATGAACAAAAAACTGTGTATCGTAGAGATATATTTCAACTGCGAAATAAGTCGATAGGCTTATCCAATGACTGTGTGAAATAATAAATGTCAATTATGCATTTTTATTATTCGTATATTAAACGATTATATTTTTACTAGTGAATACATTTTAGACTGGCTCTGCGAGCGTTGTATGAAAAAACGAAAAAGCAGAGAGAAAATAAATATTTTCTAAAAATGAAATCTTGACGAAATATTGATTTTCAACACATTTGATGCTTCATTGTTTAAATTATTAATAACCTTACCGCTGTAACGAGATAACATTGTTATAAGGAAAATGAGTTCTGCCATACCGAAGGAGCAACGTATTGCCTGCCCAACGTGTCAAGGAACAGGTAAAAGCACAATATATGATTATTCTCGCTCGAGGTTATATTTATGAAAATATTTATGTAACTTCCCAATGCAGGATACACGTCGATCCAAGTACCGCTCGGTAGTTTATCACTGGCTAACATTACCCAAGATCCGCCCGATAGGTACATGATCATTTTTAAAAGGGTAATTTTATGAAATGCCTGACAAAATTGTTCCGAATGTTTTGTAGAAAGGAAATGACATCGACCCGGCACTCGTTAGAGAGGCTGGACAGTACATTCTGTCTCGATACGACGAGTATTAGCCTGAAAAATCCTCAAGAAGAATTGAAGCATTTGCAGCGGAAGTTAAAGTCCGTCAACAGTGGCAACGACGATATTCTCGACGCATTGAGCAGAATCTCGGAGATCGTAAAATCGAATCCATCTCACGCCACCACGACTCTCATGGCCACGGTGTATCGAAGCTTATCCAGGTATATAGCGCGCAAAGTCAACAAAGAAAACAAAGTCCCAAATCTCTAATGTATACCGTACCGTATATACGGATCAAGTCTACTGCAAAGCCGATGCGACCAACCGGAAGCGCTGCTCCGCCTGGCGGCCGAATTTTTCGAGCACGGCCGATCGGCCCAGCGTCCTGAACTGGACAAGCTCGTGCTGGCCGTGCTGGCCAAGAGCTGTCACAAGTGCGCGGGGGTGCGCGAGGCCGCCGCCAGGGCTCTCGCGGCGCTGACCGGCAACGTGTCGTACAAGCCGTGCCTGCGAATCCTGACCTCGGCCCAGGCGAGCGAGCACAAGAATCCGGAGGTGCGGGCCGCCTGCGCTGCGGCCGTCAAGGACCTGCTGATGGCCGGCCGAGTCGCGAGGGATTTGCTCGCGGGCGGCCACGTCGCGGACGACTGTCGCAAGTCGGTCTTCCGGACCGTGGCCAGGTTCCTGATCGACGGCAATTCCGCTACCAGGTATAGGATTTTTGCGAAACCGGTTTATAACATTGATTTTTTGTTTTTTTTTACTTTCTCGTTAATTTTTTGCTGCTCATCTACAGAACGCACGCGAAGCAGTTGATAAAACATTTGTTGATTCACGATGAGTTCGAGGCTCTGTTTCAGCAAGTTATCGAACCTCCGCTCTACAGAATGATCGAAAAAGAATTCGTCGCCTTGAAGTACTCCGTCTGATTGACAAACGATTTTTAAATATAACATTTTACGTTTTACATGGATATCATATGTATGTATTTGCGTTAATCATTGGCACATGTTTATTCGAATTATCATTTTTCGAGTGTTTCGGCACTCGATTCGCACCCGCGTTAAAAATCAACGATCGAACCTTACTATTACAATGAAATTCTCCGACTAATCTGCTCCTTCCGGACTTACCGATCTCGCGCGTCCGATACATGCGCCGAGGATTGCATCGAAAATACGTTGTATCACGCCGGGGATTAAATATATAACATCAGTGACACGCGCATAGGATTCGTCCTTATCTCTCCACGGATATAAATAATACATATTATTGCACGTAACTCGATTTAACAATCAAAAGTTATAATCGTCGATTCGACGTGTAAGAAAAAAAAAGATAAGGCGCAAAAAGCAGCGATTACGCAATGACAACTGCTCTCAAACATCGTGCGTGTGTACTCGTACTGTTTTGTTGTGCTACCTATACATTGTAAAAGTAGTGCAGCAGTCGCTCGGCTTTAGCGCGAGCAGCAACAACAATAACACGTTATACCTATACGTATCTAAGTCGAAAGTATGAAGCAGCATCGATCGCTAACCCCGGAAGCCAAATACGATCGCACGCGCCACGATGTATATACATTAATAACGTCGGCTATGTTGTGTACGCGCTAAACGCTTCTAATGCCAAGAATAGACCTGTGTCTATGCCCGATGTGAAAATACATAATGCCAAATGCGACGAGAGAACACGAGAGAGTCGTCACGAGAAAACGAGCATGTGACGCGCGGCGCCACGGCCGTTTCAAGGATACACCTACTACACGCGAAAAAAGCTTTTCTTGTCTTTCACCGGCTTGTATTAACGATCGGAGTCGTGAGAGCTCCCAATTAGAATCATGTCCGATATATATAATCGGTGACAATTATTGAAGCTCCCGTTCACAGCTGTTTACATACGCACGTAATTATACCGACTCGAACTGGCCGATTTATTACAAAATATATAAAGCTCGTTACGGCTCGCAGGTAAGTCATTCGTATCGTCGTTATACTATATCTATACAGCGGTGACGTATAACACATCTGATGCAATAATAATCGTTGTGACTGGCGAGCTTGAGCAAGCTGCAGCCTAGTCGCGCCGACACAACATACTAGACTGGCGTCGAGCAGGCGCCCTCCCCGACCCGACTCTCTGAAAGCTGCAATTTGCAAAATATACCAACATTTATAATTGCGCATTTCTCGCGGCAGTCAGCTCAGAGAGCAGAGCTGCATAGCTCGGCTCGTCTGCTGCTTGCAAGTTGCTAGTCTCGAAGCGCGCTGCTTTTCTCTGCGTGTGAACTTTTTTTTCTGCCTTGTAATAGCCGCCCCGCATCGGCAGACGACATTATAATACCGTATCGACTGGTGTGTTTCAAGACCTCTCCTCGTATTTTAATTTCAATACAAGTGCAGTGCCTCGGTGTGTGTATTAAGCACACAATATTATAAATCAAGACCGCAGAAAGAGACGTGTGGTTGAGCGCAGCGCAACGCACACTTTTGACGTTCTACTGTTGTATCGAGAGACTCCAGTCGTCGAATACGAAGAACCGCCCGACGACGCTTGCGGATCGCTGCTGTATTATCATACGTACAGGCACAGGTTAGGTTGTTTTGGTGCTACACACGGGATTTTGCCAGCCATACATACGGCGTCCGTGGAGTTATAATCGTGCGAAATTTTGGTTCGTTGCAGGCCCTAGCATATCGTCGTCGTTGTTGTTACTTTTCTATACTCCTATCTAACCCGGACTACTGCCCCAGCAGTAGCAGCAGCAGCAGCAGCTCTCCAAAATGAGTTCCTTGATACGCAGGCGATTCCACTCGATGATAAGAAGCTCGGTGGCGCGACACCATCAGAAGGCCGCCGTGACTTCCAAGCGCATGCAACAGACCAACGCAGCCATAAATTCCACCACCGAGACTCATCAGGTATTATTTTGAGTTATTTTTTGATTGTTTCTTTTCTACCCCCCTACGCGCTTGATGCTCGTTCGAGCTTTATGTAATAACTTTTAAGGTACTTTGGATAATTTCAGGGATACTCAGAGTTGTGAATTGATTGTTTTTTGTTTTATTCTCCACTCTGGCCCTGGTAAACAGATTGAACTTTTGAATCTACTCAGGCATTGAGTGGCTTAACACATTCTTAAAATTGTATTTATAAACGTGAAACATGTAAATTTGCATTTTTTATCATTTTTTATCAATATACACAATGAAAAAATGTGAGAAGTCATTTTTTGATAAGATTGATGATGCAAGCTGCACTTTGATAATGCAATATACTTTGAATGTTACACTTCTTACTAACATCAATGTTTATTTTAATTTCAGTTTTCAAACGATGTTATACCTGTTTTTAAATATGCGGCACAATACAACGACAGATCAGCCTTACGTGATATGCACGGAGATTACACGTACAGAGGACTATTTCTCAGTGCAAAGCAATTTGCCAATGATCTCACCAAATTGCTTGGCGAAGGAAGTCAACAAAGAATAGCTTTTCTTTTACCAAATGATGCTAGCTATGTAATTACACAATGGGCATGCTGGATCAGTGGTCAAATAGGTGCGAAACATATATTTCAAATTGCAATCAAAATTTTACCAATAATTGAATATAATATAACAACATTACTAACTTTATTGGTTCTTTTTATTGATTGTTATAGCTGTGCCATTAAATGATCAGCATCCTGCACCAGTTCTTGATTATTACATCAAAGATTCTGATGCAAAAGTTTTCATTACAACACAGGATCATTTGCCAATTGTTGAACCCCTCCTAGCCAATTCTAATAGACATTTAATAGTATTTGATAATGCATTGCGAGTTTTGGCAATGAAACCACATTCTAAAGAGGCTAATAACAAACTTGATGTACCACATGATCAAGGAAATCTTATGGATGCTGGTGTGCCTGGAGATTTTTATAATAAGAGTGATGCAATGTTTGTATATACATCAGGAACAACAAGCAAACCAAAAGGTAAAATTTTAAGTGGTTTATACATATATTTTAACATTTAACATGATTAACATTTTTCAATGAGTTTGAAGATGCCCACTTTTTTTTTAATTTACTTTACTATAAAATTTATTATTTATTGAGGATTTATGCTGTTTCTGCAATACATCATTTGCTTATTTGATTATCAAAATAGGATACGGAGGTGAGCGATTGATTGAATCAGTGTTAAAATGTCCAAATTAACAATTGTCATTTAATTGAACAAAACATCAGAAAATGAGTGATACAACTTTGAATTATTATAGACATAGTTAAAATTGTTCTAATATCTAATAAAATATGATTTGAATAAGTGAAAGTTCTTCTATAATTTTAATTTTGATGATAGTTAGCTTTTCATTTTCAAAAATCATTGTGGTTGATGTTAAAGCAAATTATGTAATAATTTTCTGTACATTTACATTTCACTGCAGGCAATGAAAAGTTAAAATAATTAAACAAATTAAATTTTAGGAGTGGTACTTAGTCACAAAAATATCCAAGCTCAAGTCAGTTCATTGGTCAAGGCTTGGAATCATACAGACAAAGATATTTTCCTGCACACTTTACCACTTCATCATGTGCATGGTATTATCAACGTCCTAATGACACCTCTTTACGTCGGTGGTCGCTGTGTCATGTTACCTAAGTTCTCCGCTTCGAGCGTGTGGGCTCAAATCACCGCAGTCAACCTCAACAATAGCGAGCGCATCAATGTTTTGGCAGCTGTTCCGACAATATACATGAAATTAATTGAAGAGTACGACCAGTTGTTTGCTAAAAATGAAAAAATCAAGGAGTATATCTACAATGTCTGCACGACCAAAATTAGGTAATTATTTTTCTCGGATTTTAAATCGTATTTTAATGAAATTTTAATAAAATTCTACAATGAAAACGTAAAATTATATAGGTTGATGATCAGTGGTTCAGCTCCGTTACCAAAACCGATTTTTGAGAGGTGGGAGAAAATTACAGGTCACAGACTGCTCGAAAGATACGGAATGACCGAAGCAGGCATGATCTTATCAAATCCTCTTGATAGCGAACGTATTCCTGGTACTAAAATAAAATATTTATTAATCTGTAAAAAATTATTAAATATCTAAAAAAGTTACCTTTCATTTTCAGGTACCGTTGGAACGCCTTTGCCAGGTGTAGAAGTGAGATTAACTGAACCAGAAACACCCGAGAACCCTAAACCAAAAGTGCTTTTGTACGGAAATTCAAAGAAAAGTAAGGTAGTCGGAGAGGTGAAAGAACCTGTGAGCGGTGATTTGCAAGTAAAAGGTGAAAATGTTTTTAAAAACTACTGGCAACGGCCAGAAGTAACGAAGAAATCATTCACCGATGACGGCTGGTTCAAAACAGGTTTGTGTTTATTAAACGCTCTACAAGATGCTCTGTATTTCGCATCATTTATGTAAAATTCTAATGTATTTTTCAGGTGATACTGTGCAATACAAAGACGGCATATACAGTATGTTGGGTCGTACATCCGTTGATATCATTAAAACTGGTGGTTATAAAGTTAGCGCTGTTGAAGTTGAAACCGTTCTCATGGGTCACCCAAATATCGTTGATTGTACAGTCGTCGGTGTAGAAGATTTGACATGGGGTCAAAAGGTAAGACCTGATCATACCAATCTACATATATCTTAAACCCAGAAATTCGCTCATTTACATGTATTTTTTTAACAGGTTGCCGCGATCGTCGTCGTTGCAGAGAACACAGAAATAATTCTGTCGGAGTTGCGCGAATTCGCCAAGAAGTCGCTCGCAGCCTACGCCGTTCCTAGCGTTCTTAAGGTCGTCAATAAAATCCCAAAGAATAGCATGGGCAAAGTTAACAAACCCGATATCGTACGCATATTGTTTCCCAAAGATGATCAAAAAGAAAATCAACAAAAAACGTAAATTGACGCACCACGTTTGAGTAAGAGTTATTGTTTTTTCTTTTTTCTTTTCTTCCGGTGATTATGTTACGAGATGCACGATGCGCCGAGCGCATTATGTGTTTATTAATAATCAAGATCGCGTGACCGACACGCGTGTTCGTGTGTCGATATACAGATGCTAGCCACTTCGCGTAGCCGTTCAAGCGTTTCGTTCGGGATTTGACTTTCACGAAATAGTAGTTGTTGCCAGATTATTTTATCGTCGGTAGTTGACGTGTAGACGGATGGTTATTTTAACTATATTTGTAAAAGTGTCAAAAGGGCAGAGTGTGTGTGTGAGTTCCGAAGTCACGTGTTTAAAACGATGATGGGAAAAAAATTGTAATAAAGAATAAAAAATTATTGGTGAAGCACAATGCACGCACGTTTAACATATTTCGAGCGTTTAGTCTTTTTAGAGCTATCCAATTTCAGTATTACGACTTTCGAATCCAATTTCGAAATTTCTATGCATTTTCCGTTGAATTATCAAAATTTTTCAGTAAATCTAGATACTAATAAATCATGACACTGTATAGATAGACGACATTCCTTTGCTGGACCAATGCTCTTTTTTTTGTTTGTTTGTCAACGAATCACGTACTTCCGAAATTTTTACACTTTTCCAAACTGTATAAGAATAAGCTTTGCCTTTTTGAAACTAAACTTTAACCATTACGACAAAACGTATCGGCCCCTGAGCACGCTATATGATATTAAATAAAGAAATTTTTTTAAGACTCGTTACATAGATATACCTTTGAGAGGTATCGAATTGAAAAAAACAATAGTTATGAAGTATACACGGTACGACGGCAGCGAAGCATGCAAAATATTTTAGTAATATATATAATGCGGTATAATGTAACCGAACTAATGTGTATAATTTAGTGGGTGCTTACTTTCGTTAAATCGAGTACTCGACGATTTGTTTTTTTCTTCTTCTTTTTTTTTTTAAATGAAATATTACAAAATTTTTTCGATCACTAATTCTTAAGTTGTTTAACAATGATTAGATTTTTTTGTACGAGACGAGTGAATATATTGTGATATATTTTAACAAAAATAAAAAATCAAAGTGCCATTCTGCACTGACTCAAGATGGATCGACAGGGAAATTTCTTCTCGACAAAATATATTTCACAAAATTGTTTTAAATTTTTTTCTTAGTCAATAAGCATTATTAATCTTATGGATTACGATAGAGCCAGGCGTTTGGCTAATGATTACAAATTACAAAATAAAAAAAATAACAAAATTGACACCATGAAAAATTCATTAGAAAACACCTCCACTGGTCCTGATACATTATCTTTCGCTTCTATATAAAGCCATCAACTTTCTGTCGACATGTTACCCACATTATTCAGTGTCTTTAATCAAGTACGTACTTCTGCTTAAGGTATTTGAAGAGCAAATTGATTTATTTTAGTTTTCACTCGAAATGATGGCGGTATCTTCAAATTAGAAACTTTCGGAAATTAATTAACTTTTACTGTGCATCCAGGAAATCGAATTAATTCTCTAAATACGTAGCCACTTTGGAATGTCTTTTTCAAGAGCATCAGGCCAATAAAGTAAAAAAAAAAAAAAAACAGGAATCGAGAATCAATATTGCCGCACAGTAGCCGAAAAATCACGATGGACAAGCGTGATACGATGAGATTCGGAGATGAGAGGAGCAGAGAGAGAAAAAAAGTGTCGACAATCGTAAAGTCAAACTCTTCCACTTTGTAAGTAGCATTTAAATGAGAAAACGTTAAGAAAGAGGAACTTCTTTTTTTTATATTCGCATATATGTATATGGTATGGGTAGAGAGCATGAGATCATTATTTAAGAGGCATTTGATCTCTCTCTTTCTCTCTCAACTGACGAAATCAAGGAGTTGGCGCTGAGCGTGATACAAGACCTAATTTTAGAATTATCATCAAAAAATTCATTAACCCTCGGTTTTTTGTCGAGTGTGCCGTATTTAAATTCAATTTTATCGCCACTCATAATCGGCACTTTTCTTAAATGTTCATTTTTAGTGCGCTTTTTTCAAGCGATGATGTCATCGTAGTATTTCGTTTGTCTTCATTTGGCAAAAAGAGAACACCCTTTACACATTCGTGCGTGGCAAAATTTGCGATAAGCAACTTATACTTATACACCGACTTGTTAAGGTTCGTTGCGCCGAACAGTTCATCCCTTTCATTTTAAAAGGAATCGAAATTCCTGAAATTAATTCGTTGATCGTGAAAAAATTCTCGATTCATATTTGGTCACGAGATGATTGATTTAATTTACCGGAGAACTCGCGAGTAAAAAGTTTCCTTCAATTATTTAATACATTATATTAAATTGAACACGATTACACCTTATGAGGCGAGGAGGGGTCAAAAAAAGAACTCGAACAAAACCAAAGACAGCTCGCGATTATTTTTTGTATACCTCTTGCGCGCATATCAGTTTATATAAACGTTTTCGGGATGATTGAATCGACGAGCAAAACGTTACATTGATAATTCCGTTGACTTACAATATGCTCGAGTCTATATATAATATATACAATATATTAAAAGTTGCTATGTGCATCGCGAGCCAAACGATTCCACTAAACAATCCATCAAAAAGTGTCACTCCGAGCATTCTTTCGAGACAACGTCTCGAGAGCACGCGGTGAAACAAAGCTGTTGTGTGCTCCGTTGCAAAAGTAAAAACAACAAAAGCAAAAGCAAAAAAAAACAGAAGGAAGACGAAGAAAAAAATACCGATCTTCGCAGACGAGATATGTCGTTCGCTCGATTCATTATGATTCGGCGGATGCAAGAATCGTGCTCGGCGCGGTTGGCTCGAGCCGATAGAAGATGGCGCTAGCTGTGCATGCAGGCCAGCCAGACTGCAGCAGAGGCAATCGAGCGAGCGTGCGTTGCCTTGCCGATTTTCTTCTGCGCGCTTCGGCACTCTCTGCACTCTCTGCTGTGTGTGACTGTGTTTGCACTGGCAGTAATTTCATTAAGATTCCAGACCATTCGCAGCAGCTGCACATACGCGCGCGCGACATATTCGCGCGTATAGAGCGCATTGTCTTAACTCAAAGAAGGGACGAGCGCGCGCGGGAGAGCGCAAGAAATTTCAAAAATCTTTTCTCCGAAAAAATTTCTCCTCCTCCTCTTCCTCCTGCTACTCGTTCTCTTCTTCTTCTTCTCGGTGCAGGTCTCCGCTGGGAGCTCCCGCGGTATACATATTATAAATACGAGCGAGGCTCTTTAGTGCCATGCACGGGCGTGTAAGTATAATAATATGCATAATTACATTATACGGGCGGTGGAAGCACAAAGTATAATCGTATACGAAAACTGCCCAACGATATGCACGACGCGCTGCACACGGCTTTCTTGTGCTCGAAGCGCAAGCATAAGCACGCAGCAAAATCCAAGTATATAAAAGGCGACGTGCTGTCTAGCGTACTCGAGCAAGGCAGAGAAGCAGCAGCAGCAACGGATCGTCGCTCCTCTGCACCACAAGCAAGCAGCAGAAGCAGCAGCAGCAGTAGCTCGTGCGTAAGGAGAAATAATCACGTAGTATATATAATAAACGGGCAGACATGCGAAGGTCTTTGGCTGCGAGCGATATAAAACGGCGGCGGCGGTGGTGACGACTCCGCAAACACAAAAAAAAAAAAAGAAAACAACAAAAAACGAGGAGAAAAGGAAGAAGAAGCAGCAGCAGAGAGAGAGAAGCAAAACGCGTCTTGACAATTATATCGAACTTGCTAGACAGTAAGAAGACTCCACGGCGCGAGCGTGAGCATATTATATACCGTGTGGCATATACAAGCCACGCATCTTCGTTTTATAAAGCCCATGATGCATATTACACACACACACACACACATACACAAGTGGACAATCGATCGATCGTTCGCTGATAGCCGCCGCGCAACAGAGAGAACGGGTCGCGCGAGCTCGGCATATTATTATATGTACGCGTATATCGAGATAGAGTCGAGCCGAGCGAGCGAGAGAGAGAAGCTCGGTTGCAGCAAGCCGATCTCGCGCAAAACGAGCCGAGCTGCTGCGACGACGAGCGAGAGAGAGAGAGAAAGAGAAAACAACCTGCTGCTCGGCTTGTTATTGCTCTTTCCTCCTTTGAGAGATGCCTCGTTTTCTCGTTCACCTTCGCCTTCTTCGTCGTCGTCGTCGTTGTCTTGCTGCTCATGCCGCGTGCTGATTCTCTCTCTCTCTCTCTCTCTCTCTCTCTCTGTCGCTCGCTCGAGTCTCGCAGCCGCAGCAGCAGCAACACACATAGATATACAATTTGCACGCTTACCTTCTCTACAAGTCTGTGTGCAGTCGATGATCGGTTATTTGTCTACCCGTTCAATTGCCATCGTATACAGTGTGAACCACCGTGCCGAGATGTCTGCTGCTCCTACTCGGATATATAGAATATTAAAAGGATGAACGAAAAAAAGAAACGAATATGGAAAGTAAAAAAGAAAAAAGATGAAAATCGAGGTAAACGCCATCACATTAGAAACGATGACTGCTTGCATATCTCACTATATACTAATAAAGGAGAATAACCACCACCGTCGTCGGTATCGGTTACCCCTCGCTTTTTAACCTGTATTTTTTACTGAAGAGTAGCCAAAAACTTGAGTTAATCGGTAATTTTAGCAGACCAAAAAATGTCTCGAAGGAATCATCGCCAAGTTAGAATTTTAATTTGATTCAAATTTGGAAGGACAATATATTAACAGATAAATCGGTAATTGAATTGTAAACAATATGATCATAAGCAATATTTACATCGCCCATCGACACTATGATCATGTTTTTAGTGAAAACAAATTAGTTCGGCTGTTGTCTTTCCCGATGATACAAGTCATAGAACCAAAAGATAAATTTTACCATTCAATTTCCATAGCACTAAATAGAAGAATCCATAGTTTAATTTAGGAACCAACATGGATAAAAGTGGGGAAAAATCCGAGAAAATCGTTTCAAATGATAACTCAAATGAACACGAACGTGTTGTTATTTCGGGCGAAAAACAACACGTTTCTGATATTTGTCAGGAAGCATTTACACTAGAATCAAGTTTGATAACACAGCGAGACGCAGTTCACACTGAAGAAAAAAATTATGCGTGCGACGAGTGCGAAGAAAAATTTGAGTACCGAAGTCATTTAAATAGACACCAAATATCGGTACACAAAGGCCGTAATGATTTTGCATGCGACAAGTGTGAGAAGAAATTTGAGTTCCGAAGTCATTTGAGTAGACACCAAATATCAGAACACAAAGACCGTAATGATTTTGCATGTGAAAAGTGTGAAAAGAAATTCGAGTTCCGAAGTCATTTGAGTAGACACCAAATATCAGTACACAAAAATTGCAAAGATTTTCCATGCGACAAGTGCGACAAGAAATTTGTGAAAAAATGCAGTTTATTCACGCACCAAAAATTGGTACACAAATATCGTGAAGATTTCTTGTGCAACAAGTGCGAAAGGAAATTTGAAAATAAATCAACTTTACTAAAGCACAAAAAAATATTCCACGAAGTTTTCAAAGATTATCTATGTGAAAATTGCGCGAAAAGATTTGACAATAAACAAAGTTTGCGCTTACACATAAAAAAAGTTCATAAACCCCAAAATACAAGCCACAAAGGTGAAGGTCACAAAGATTACGCATGTGACAAGTGCGAAAAAAATTTTGCATATAAATGCCGTTTGGTTTACCACCAAATGGAAGTGCATGAAGGTCGGAGAGATTTCGCATGCAACAAGTGCGAGAAGAAATTTAGGCACAAATCACATTTACTTATACACCAAAAGACAGTACATGAGGGACACAAAGATTTTGCATGCGACAGGTGCGTAAAGAAATTTACAGTAAAAAAGAGTTTGACTGTACACATAAAGACGGTTCACGAGCGCCGCAAAGATTTCACGTGTGATAGATGCGAGAAGAAATTTGGAACTAAATCAGATTTGTTGAAGCATCAAAAATCAATACACGAAGGTCGCAAAGATTACATTTGCGAACAATGCCAGAAGAAATTTACCCAAAACTCGAGTTTACTCTTCCACCAGAGGACAGTACACAAAGGTCGCAAAGATTTCGCATGTGAAAAATGTGAAAAGAAATTTTCACAAAAATCAAAGTTTATTGTTCATCGAAAGACAGTACACGAAGGTTGCAAAGATTTCGCATGCGACGAGTGCGGGAAGAAATATGGGAATCAAAGCAATTTGACCACACATCA